ACTTGAGTGGGACCGCACTCTCTTGGTTCCGAGTCCTGCCTTACAAACCACCAGTGCTACATTTCTGCAAATGGCTTTTCTTCTCGCTTCCACCCGGTAACCCCAAGGATCCATCCTTGGCCCCCTTCCCTTCCTCATCTATATGCTCCCTCTCGGTGATGTCATCCGCAGACACAGGGTTAACTTCCACATGTATGCGGATGACACTCAACTCTACTTTTCCACCTCCAGCTGCGACCCCCAGTCCCCTGATGTTCTGTCAGCTTGACTGTCAGACATCAAGAGCTGGATGAGCTCAAATTTTCTGCAGTTAAACGTCCAAGAATGAAGCCATACTCTTTGACTCCTGCCGACGTCTTCTGTCCCACGTTCAGACCTCCTCAACCTACCCGACCTGTCCTTAATACTCTCCAAACCCATGCGCAACTTAGGCATCAGGTTCGATCCCCAGTTATCCTTCCTCACCCACATCTGGTCTCTGACCAGCACCGCTTTCTACCACCTCCACCACATTTCCCATCTCCGACAATACCTCACCCCAAAAGCTGCCGAAACCCTTGCCTATGCCTTTGTCACCTCTCGGCTGGACTACTCTAACGCCCTCCTCGCCGGTCTCCCCTCCTCCACTATTCACAACGTCCAGCTCATTCGAAATTCCGCCGCACACATTCTCACCCGCACCAAACTCCACACCCCAATTACTCCAGTCCTTGCCAAACTCCACTGGCTCCCTGTCACAGAGTGGATCAACGTCACGATCCTCACTCAGGTGTTTAAATCCCTCCATTCCTTGACACCCCCCCCCTAACTCTCTAACCTCCTGTCTCCCCACAGCAGTACCCGCTGCCTCCGCTCTACTCGGTCTGGCCTCCTCCGCGTCCCCCGAATCCTCCGCTCCACCATCGTTAGCCGTGCCTTCAGTCACTACACCCCGAAACTTTGGAACTCCTTCCCTCAACCCCTTCATTTCGCCCCTTCCTTCCCCATCTTCAAATCGCTCCTGCAGACCTGTTTTGACTGCGCCAGCGGTCACCTTCCGCCTCCCCCGGCTCAGCCTTGGGCTCTGCCTTTGTTAAGCGCTGTGAGACGCTGTCCGGCATGCAGGGTGCTATATAAGTGCAAATTGTTGTTGTTCATTACTGATCTGCAACTTAATTCCAATTTGATTCCCTTTCACCAAATACCTTGATACCACTACTGCCAAATATTTATCTACATCCCTCTTAAACATTTCAGAGTTACTCCCAGTGTCCAGGCCCTTCAGAAAAAAATGGGTCATTCATTTCCAGACTGATTGTGGGTCATTGTAGTGTGCAAATTGACTGTCGAGTTCACCTACAAAATACTCGGTCTCTGCACTTTACAGTGAAGTGCGTTAATATGTTTTGCTGATGTGACAAGATGTTATATTGCTAAGTAGTCTGAAGTATTACATTAACAAGGTCACCACCTCCTCAAGGACAGTTTCACTTAACAACATATCACCAAGTTCTTTGACAAACTTTAAAAAACTGGCCATTTGGCATTAGGATGACTGAATGGATGTTTTATGAAATGTTGAGTAAGAAAGAAAAGAACTTGATCTTTTAATATTGAGCGAAAACATTTGGGTTCATTAGTAATGAGCTTCATGTTAAATAAAATAATCTTACGGAGAAATTGCTTGATTCGAGATAGGAAGATACAGGAGGAGGCCATTCAGCTCATCAAGTCCGTCAGTTTATTAGATCTTGGCAGATATTTTAATTGCAATGCACCAGCCTTTTGCCACACCCCTTTATCCCTCTTCAAACCAGTTACCTGTTTATCTCTCTTTTAAACATCCCTTAATCTTGTTCCTTATCTATCTGTCTTTAAATCCCACTTGACAGTAAACCTCTTCTACTGTGCCTATGGTCATCTTTCCCCAGTCCTCTTCTCCCTTGCTCAGTGTCTGACCCCATCATTGTGAACCTTTCCAAGAGGGTGTCCTATATCAATGGCGCTATATAAATGTAAGTTGTTGTTGTAGGCTGACACTCTAATGCAGTGCTGGGGATGCGCTGCAGTGGGGAAGATGATGTCCTTCAGGTGAGACATTAAATTGAGCCCCGTCTGCCTTTTCAGTTAGACGTTAACTATCCCCATGATACAACTTCATGGTTGTTTGAGGGATGTTGCCATGCACAAATTGACTTGTCAAGTTAGCCTGCAAAATACATAGAGCCATTGCTCTCTACAGTAAATCCTGTGAAATGCTGTGAACATGGTAAAGCAGAATATAAGGTGTAAGTGAATATAGTGTAATAAAGGGTTTGATTATGTCTGGGATTCCAGGGTAGTTTGTACTTATTTTCAGCACTATATTATCTTGCTGGAAGCATTGTGTTATGTCAATATATGTTTTATATTTCCTATTTGAAATAAATCAAAGCTGAAATCTGCATGTTAAGGAAAAGGTTTGCCCTGACTGAACATCCAGCATTTCCTTAAGTGGTGACCTTTTTCCTTTTCAGCTGTTTCCTGCTTTTGTTGAACTAACACTTTTAGTTGGAAGGAATATTGTGGCTTGTCTCTCGTTTACATTTTTGTAAGATGCGTTGCTTTCCTTTTTTTAAAAATAAATTGTGGATTTTTTTGTCAGTCTCATTGGAAAGTTTTTAGAAGTAAATTTAAATGTACTAGATTTCAGGACTAATCAAAGCTCAATATGGAATCTCTCAGGATTATTGGATTCCAGCACTTTTTCTTCTTAATTTGAACAGATCCACTTGGTAGGAATCTGACTTTAGCATTGTTCTCTTGCTTTTACTTATTCTCCAGAAAGAGAAACTGCACTAAATTGTGGTACCTCCAGGTACAGAAGGTAATCAACAGCTGGAATGTCCAAGACACTGGACTCAATATAATACAGTTTACACTTGTATAACATCTTTCACACCAGGAGGACAAAGCACTTTAAGCTCAAGAATGACTCTTGAAACACTTAACAGGATATACTGTAAAATGATGTATCTATGTGTAATTTGTGGACGAATATGGTATTGTCTCTATTTTCAGAGGAACATTTTCACTTTGCTGGTAAGACCTGAACTCCAAGCTTGCTTGCTCAAAATACAGTCACTACAATTACCTGTTGAGCGCTTTGAAACATTTCGCCATTATAGGCTCTGTATCAAATGCAAGGATTTTGAGTAATCTTTCACTCAAGGGGGCAATGAAGTCAGCCACCAGCATTTGGCTTCGTTTTTGTGTGGTCCTTGCAGCTGCTGATTGTATAGAACAACCCAGGACCCCCTCCTCCCCGGGGTAAGACTACCTCTCACAAGTGAAGTTTGCCATTCGTCTAAAATTCCTACTTCCCGTGGTTGTCAGGAATAGAAACTCAAAGCTTTAATGATAACTGAAGATAATCAGTGATATGGATCCTCCGTATCAATAGCAACAGGACACAAGATTAGGTTAAACCACAAACTCATCCCATTCAGCTGTGTGAGGGCTGCAGCTTTCTGTTTTTAGCCATGTTTGCGTGCTACTTGTCAGGCAATAGCTCAAATCTGTTTATTCATGATTGAAAATCTCACACCTCAGACTTGTCCAATTTTGACAACTCTGAGAAAGGAATGATCCTGGGACTCTCATGTCTGCTAATTCTACAACGCTTCTAGGAAAAGTTTTGGAGTTTATTATAATGGAGGCCATTCAAGCACATTTAACAGTAGTCAAGTCTTTGATTCCAAGTTAACATGGGTTTATGAAAGGCAGGTCATGTGTAACCAATTTAATGCAATTCCTTCAGGATATAATTTGCCAGATGTTATACGTCTTTACTTTCATGAGCCATTTGAGAAGGTACCTCACAAAAGGCTTGTGGCTATAAAGGGGGGGAAGTAGTAAATTGAATAATAACTGAGCTAAATACGAAGAAACAAAGGGTAGTGATCAACAAAGAGAGTTCCTATTGAATAATTCTGACAAGCAGAGTAGCTGAGGGATCGGTCCTGGAATCGGTGCTGTTCACAATATTTATAAATGATCTTGATTGATTAAATATAAAGTTTGCAGATAATAAATACCAGGTTACAATGGAAATCAGTTGATGTCTGGATGAAAGAATTAAATTGAAAGTGTTCCAGAGAGACTCCAGATAAGTTGTAAATGCAATTTAACATTGAAAATTTTAAAATAGCAAATACAATTATAAAATGAAGAGTACATTATTAAACATGTCAGGAGTAGGTACCAGGAAAATAGTTGATCTAACATTGAAAGGATCATCAGTGTCAGGCAGCGGAAGCAAAGGTAAATAAATGGTTGGGTTTAATGTGAAGATATATAACATAGACAATTAAAAATTGGGACATTCACAAAATTGCAAGAGGTCTAGTCTCCTTCATCCGTATCTCTCTTGTGATCTTGAGTTATCACTTATGAACGTCCTTTTTTCCACCCATTTGTTCACATATTTTCCTTACTGTCTTCCCATCACAGCGTTGAATTGTTTATTAAAATGAGCCCACTGTTCAGACCTGTATCACACTGCCTGGTTGGTTACTCATTCCCGTTGTTATTGCTTTCTGTGTAAAATAAATGCAATGTAAGTTGCGCTTTACAGCCTTGAACCAGAGCTGCCTTGGCATTATCAGAAAATATTGCTCTGGGTTTTATTGTTCTGAATTTACTTTCTCAATCCCATTTAGCAGATGTGTTTCTGGCCAAAAGAGGGGATTAAGGGATATGGCCGTAAAGTGGACGGAAATCAAACAAAAAGAAATCTGCTTGTTGGGCCAAATGCCTTTTCTTGTTTTTAAAATGTTACATGCTCCTTTGGCCTGTACGTATTCCCAGTATTACAAAGGTGCAGTGTCCTGTAATTGAATATTGGAAAGGTGCTACTTTCATTGGTTTGGCAGCTGAAATCTCCAGTGCACTAGTGTCTTGGATAGTTGTAGTTTGCATACTTTGTGGTGAGTCTTTTCTAGTGTATTTGAGGCCAATTAATATCTTTCCTTGTATTGCAGGTGTGCCATCGCTGGTGTGAGCTGGTTGTTAAACATAAAAACAGTGCAGCCTATGGAGACGTGGAACATTTTCTGCAGCACCATCAGGTAACCTGCTTAAATATATTCAGATACATTTTTTGTATTGAAACAAGGAAGTACTATTCCAGTTAAATAGCCTGCAGTTCAGACATCATCTGAAGAATTCTAACCAACACTTTAGAAACACCTTTATGGAAGTCCAGCAACAGTTCACCTCACTGGGATGAAGTGGCTTAGCCACGATGAAAGGTTTTCAGTGATAAAGGGAATTGAGATAGATGGCAATGACTCCTTCCTCCTGTAGGGAATTAGAGCTAAGTTGGTTAAAAGTACTGCCAAAATCTTTCTTCACATGGATTGTTGTGAGAACATGGAAATCTGCCCCTAAAAGACCAAGGATCAGAATGAATTGAAGAAATGGGATTGGAAAGCTAAATAGCTACCACATCCTAATAAAACAGTGGAGGTTATTATGTTCTTGTGTCCTTGTAAAGAAAACCAGGAGCATTTTTTTTCGGGCATTGCAGCAATGAAATAAAGCCAATATGAATTCATGAATGGTAGGTCTCATTGCACTGTATGCAGCACAACATAATTCTAAACTGCATGTTAAGGCATGTGACAAGATCAATTGTAACATTTCTGATTCCAAGCTTGTGGGATCTAAGTGGAAGTTGTAAAGTTCTAAATTGGATAATAAATTTGCTTGATAATGGAAGGCAGAATACTTAATGATATTGATTCACATGAGCTGGAGTAATAACCAGGGGACTCCATCAGACTTCCCCCTCCCTTCCCCCAGGCTCCTGCAGTGCCAAATTTCACTTGTGATTTTATAAGCAACATGTCACATTTCTTGACAGAAGACAAACTGTGGGGAAAATTGTGTTACTCTGAAGAGGTGAGGTTTGTAACTGTGGGAATGAATGAATTACAAATAGTATTATTACTGCAAAGTACAAGGTAATTTGTACTGGTAATGGGAGAAAAAAGCCAACATATTTAAGAAGAATAGGCCAAGAGATAGATTATTGACCAATCTCAGTTTCTGCCTCTATGAAGTCAGATTTCAACGAGTTATGACATCTCATTGTACTGGCAGGAGAACAGTATGGCAGCAAAGCTCCAGTGGGTCAGTCTGAGTCACATCCGGATAGCCGCAGGATCTGCTTTTTCCAAGTCCTTTTGGGATTCCTCCCAAATCGGAGCACAAAGCCTGTATCTACTTGCAGCGATCAGTCACTGCATTAATTTCAGATGAGTTTTATGTAGAGGGTGGTGTCCTCAGCAGTGATGGGGGGACATGAATGACATCCTTCACATTGTTGATAAACGTGAGAGTGGGACTGAGGCGAGCAGATTTTCCTGAGGGAGCCCAGTGCTGTTCTGATAAGACAAACACGCTGTTTATCCAGTTGCATTGTTTCCATATTTCCATCACTATATCTTCCGATGCTCTCCTGCTTTTGTTCACAATATTCAAATTACAACCTGAATTTACCTCTCAGCAATAAAACATCAGGGTGTTCACTGTACCATCACTGTCTTTCAATAACTAGCAGCAGCTTGTTGGCTTCTCTAATCTGGCAGCGCAAAGCTGAATGATTGGCGTCTTCCATGCATCTCCACAAAACGATTGAAAAGCTGGCCCTCCTGGCATTGTTACTTTTGGTTGAAGTTGCACGAGGAATCCATTAGAAACGAAACTCAGAAAACATAAAGTCATTCTGACATTGTGACTCCAGGCGGATTAACTGCACTTTGGCTGCCCAGACTTTACAAGATTAAAAAGCCGGAGAGAAGATTAAACAATTTTCGGAAGCCCCAGCCATGTTGCGTCTATGTATTTAGTTAATTGTAGGGGTTCTTTTATTTAAATAAACCTCAATTCTGTGAACTCTCATACTTTAGCTCACTTCCTTTCGTTCTCTTTCTTGTTCTCACCTGGCTCTCTTTCTCTTGCCCCCCTTTTTCTCTTGTTCTCACTCGCACTCTTTCTCTTTTGCTTTCACTCGAACTCTCTCTATTGCTGTCTCATTCCCCCTTTCTCTCTGTCTCTCACTCTCTCACTCTTACTCTTGTGCACTCGCTTTCTCGCTTGCTCATTAAATAATGACGCTGTGTTTCTGGCTGCTCAGGTTTTGACAGGGCCTGATACTAGGTGACTAAAGCAAACAAACCCAGAGTGACAATGCTGGGATCAATATGCTTCAATCTCGAGATCACACCATTATTATGCCGATTATTATGACTTTTATCTGATGGAAAAAGTAGCCAGATTGCATACTGGAGGATCTGATTCCATGTGATTGCTTCAGGCAGTCGAGCATGACATTTCCCCAGTCACATAAACACATTGTGGCATTTCTAGAAATCTGAGCACGTTATTTTTCAAAGAATCCAAATGGTACCTTTTGTCTCCCGGATCCAGTGCTTTGATCCATTTAACACATGGAATGTGACCCGATGACACATGAGAGCTGCTTGGCTACAAGCACATCTTTAGTGAGGAAAATGTCAGTGTGGTTGGATGAACTACAGGTCACATCCTTAACTGCATTGGGATCAGCATGAGACTCAGTGATGGAGGGAAGGCTGAGGTTCCCTGAAAAAAAAGTGACAGATAATGGGCTGCAGCAGGTTTATAAAAACCCGCTAATGCCTCGGTCAGTTTGTCCCAGTATCTATTTTAAAGTACTCAGGGGTTCGTCAGTCTTCAGAGAAGATGGCACAGAAGGATACCTCGTAGTAGTGAATAAGATTTGAAATGGGATTGAAAAAGTAAACCCAGATCAATATTTTACAGTGCACCTCTACACAGTAGTGCAAGAGCACATGGGTTTAGACTTCAGGAAGTTTTTCTGATCTCATCCCTCCAGGATATCCACACTACCATCTTCCCATCACAGCGTCCAGCTGGTTTTTAAATGGATCCAGTGGCCTGGCCTCAACCAGTTTTACTGGCAACCTGTCCCTGTTAGGAACTTGATGACTACGCAATGAATTATATCATTTGAATTGAGAGAAGAATTCTCCCCTTTTAGCTTCCATCCTAATCATAAAATCTGAAACATTTGTTTTTAATTTAATTGTTTTTTTCCCTTCATTGCCTAATCTGGAGTTACGGGTTGCAGCACTTTTCCTTTCTATCTCTGTAATACAGGTTATTTACTCTAGACACTAATACCAGTGTCAAGAGTCTTAGAAGCAGTAAGTATTATGAGGGGAAACAGTTTTTAAGGGCAAAATATTTTCAATGAAGAGTGTATATAAAATGTATTCTATATACAGTGAGATGTCCAGACATAGTAGTTTGCAGTTTGTTTTCACTAAAGGGAATAGTGCTTGGTAAGTCTGCTAGTTACTTATATTTGGGTCGCCCACCGGAGTCTGTGTCACGCCCTGTCCATAAGACAGAAAGCAACTTCTGGTTTATATAGTGGGCGGGGGCTGTGATGGGCTTGGTCTGGTTGGGTCAACACCAGCTGGCAGTCCTTCTCACTATTTTAGTTTTCTGTCTACTTCTCGCTCCCATTTTCAGTGCTTCTTTATTCCGACCTGAATGACTTGGGAGCCTAGTTTTTACAGCAGCAAGGTTTATTTTTAAATAAAGGCCCTGATTGTTGTCAGTACAGCTTGTGCACATACTTTGTGTGCACAGAGTGGCAGAGAAAGCATGGAAAATCCAGCAGCAATGCAGAGAGCTCGGGATCATGGACTGAGGCAACAGGGTAAAAACCTAATGACTTTTCTTTCCGTTCTGATTCTAACACGGGAGAAAAAAATTATCACAGTGTTTATCATTCGTACGATTTACATTCTTTATTTTTGATGATTTGCGACACGAAATGTGATATTTTAAGTGAGTGAGCGTTCAGGGGAACTGCGGAGAGCACAGAATTTATTCCACTCCTGGAATCTACCCCTCGGACATCCTGCCTTGTGTCCCAGATACCCATTTAGTATCCTCTCCATCTTAACTCTTTCTTCATTGCTGTTGAATATTACTTGCCTTGTAGCATTGTGGTTTAACATCTCAGGTCGTCACTCGCTATGTTAACATTGCAGTTAGCCATGTTCAAATTTAGTGCATTAAGATAACTGGGCCAAAATCTTCATTAACCCTGAAGTTTGTTTTTGCTTTGCTTCCAACAACAGCAGTTGGAATTATTAGTTATGAATTGAAAAATAATAATAATAATCCTTGCTTTTATAGCTCCTTATCACGTCGTCGAAGTCTCAAAGTGCTTCACAGAATATACTGTCAAGTGAATTGACTGTTTATTTTGTGGACGGGCCTTCTGCCACTCTGCCCCCACCTTCTGGAACTCCATCCCACAGTCCCTCCGCCTCGCCCCCTCCCTTGCCTCCTTCAAGACCGATTTCAAGACTCTCCTCTTCGACCGTGATTTCCATCACCTGCTTCCCCCCCGCCCTCCACCCTCCCCAATCCCGACCCCCAGCTCGGGTCCAAAACACTGACTGCTAGCCCTGAGACATCGTCTTGATGTGAAAGGCGCTATACAAATGTAATTTTGTTGTTGTTGAAACGCGGCACCCAATTGGCTGTCCCTGAAACAGTCACGGATTGAGTGACCAATTTTTTTCAATAAATCTCAAAATTCAGGCCAATATTTGCCAAAAAATGGTAAGAAAAAAAAGTTCTTTATTGTTATTAATGGTTTGAAGGTAAACTCCCGTGTGATTACTTGCCAAGTGTTGCTCAGTTCCTTGATACCTGCCGTATATTTTAAATACTTGGGACACTGGTCTAGTGTTTAGCAGCCAAAGAATAGTAAACAAATCTACCCAAGCAAGTTAATATGGGCTTATTTTTCATATTGAAGAAAAGAACATTAAATAAGTGCATATTTGGCTAGAATTTTTTTTAGAAAATAAACTTATTTTCAAATCGAGTTCCTTCCAAATAAGCACCTGTCTGCATTTGATGTATACACTGTGACCAAGTATTGTGTCCAACTATTATCACTGGGTTTAAATGTTGGGAGGCATAAATAAACTAAATAGCCAGAATGGAACTTTTTTTATATAAAGAGGCAATTTCTCAACTTCTTTGAAAGGTCAAAATGCATTTGAGAATTTATTTTATACTTTTGTTTGGCCTATTTTTAAAACATAATTACGGTCCATTTCCAAAGAAGCAAATGTTTATGTTTTACACCTCTGCATTCTCAGAGGTTTAGTAAGCAGTGAGTGAAGGGAATGTTGCTGAACGTATGTCTCTGTGTTCCGTATCAGATCAAACGCACTCTCGAAAGTTGTGCAATACAATTTTAATCACACTGAGCATCAAAAGGAAAACACAGCCTTGCAGTGCAAGAGATTAAACCTATCCAAATCTGTAATAAATCAGTAATTTCACGGACAGCATATAAAGTTTATTTTTTAAAAAAGAAAGATTGATTGAACTGCAAAGAAAAGTGTAAGAAAAAGCTTTGTTAGTGGAATGATTACTGTTAACCTTTGGCAAATTGTATACAAGGCTAGAGCTTGTATACAAGGCTGGAGTCCTGCAGCTCAGTGGTTAGAGCACGCGCCTTACAAGTGAAACACCTGGGTTCAATTCCAGGCAGGGCGAAACCTTGGGCAAGTTTCCTTACTCCACACACCTATTAATAATCCCTCCAAAACAATAATAAATTGATCATTTTCAGTCCATGACTGTTTGTGGGACACTGCTGTGCGGAATTGGCTGCCGTGTTTCGCCCACAAATATATGTCGATTCACTTTACTGTATATTCTGTAAAGCGCTTTGAGACGTCTAGAAGACGTGAAAAGCGCTATATCAAATGCAAGGATTATTATTATTAAGGCTGAGATTTGTATTACTAATATGTGACTTGTCCTAGGCAATGGGTGTCTATTTGTATGGGGAGCTGATGGTTGGTGAGGATGCCAGGCAGCAGAAGCTGGCTCGAAAGTGCTTTGCCATGCTTCAAGAGGAGATGGACCAGTCATCGCAGAAAGTGGTAGCTGAAATGATATTCTAGAGAAGCGAAGGACTGAAGAGGTAATTCCACAAAGATTTGAAAGCTAACCCGAGTGTGGAGAGTTTTAGAGAAAAGCAAGCGATTTTTGTTATAATTTCTCTTGCGTACTTCACCAATTCTGTATGTTACTTTGCAAGTATTATTACTATTGCTTTTTAAATTTTTTTTACTGTATAAGGTATTGATGGGAACCAATTTGACTACTTTCAATTTCATTCTTGAGAAACAAAACAAAATTATTAGAAGACAACAATTTATCTGCATTTTGCTACAAAATTTTAGTTAGAGTTTAGAAAAGTAGCCTTGTTAGAGAGTAAAATCTTTGGAGATCCAAGAATGGCTTGGAATTTTATTGTGATTTTAAAAAATGACCTGTGCGATTTCCTTTCTATTTAAAAAAAATTGGGATGAAGAGTTTCACTCTCTAGAACAAATAGCCCTCCAATATGAGAGGAAATTCATCTCTGTGGGCCAAGATGCTTAAAGTTTAGACAAGCTTCACCTTTTCTTTGTTCTTTCTCACCCCTGCTTTTCTGTTCATTCGTTGTTGTTGACTTGCAACACTTTTTTAATAATCCTTCACAGCATAGAAGGCCTAATCAACCTTCTATGCCCCATCTTCTGTGATCTGCATTTCCCCACCTACTGTGAAGTCCTGCAGCTCAGTAATTAGAGCCCTCGTCTCGCAAGTGAGAGGACCTGGGTTCGATTCTCGGCAGGGTGAAATGTTGGACAAGTTTCCTTACTCCACACGCCTCTGTTTACCTAGCAGTAAGTAGGAACCCGGTTGTTAGTCGATTAGCATATTGCTTTTCCGGAGATAATAATTCCTTTTTTAAAAAACATTTGGTCACTCAATCCACGACTGTTTATGGGACACTGCTGTGTAGAATTGGCTGCCATATTTCGCCCACAAAATGCATAGTCAATTCACTTTACAGCGTATTCTGTGAAGCATTTTGAGACGTCCTGAAGACGTGATGAAGCGCTATATCAAATGCAAGGATTATTATTATTATTATTGCCTGTTCCCTGTCAGCTCAGGCCTCCCTCACATCCCTGCCCACTCTGCTACATTTTTGACAGACAAGTTCTCAATCCTGATGCTTCAATCCCTCCACAGAATCAGAGTCCACCTGAAAACCTGTATGACTGTCTCTTCGGCCTTCTCCCCTATCTCTCCCGTCCATCCAGCTCCAGCTTCTGCTTTGTCTCTGCAAGCTGCTTTGAGCCGTTCTCCTGTGTTAAACATGCCTTATAAGTACAAGTTGTTGCTGTTGTTTCACCCATGTAATTAATGTCCAATATTTTCAGAAACCTTCCTGATCAGAATTTCACATAGTTTTCCATAACTTCCATAGCGTGTTCAGAATGTGCTTTACACTGCCTAGTAGGGTGCTTTTTCTAGTGGTTCCTGACGTGCACTCTTGCAAACCTCGTTGGACAGCCAGTAAGCTCCAGAATCTCTGGGATCAGTTGCTGAGAAGCTGTTGCAACGCAGTTGTAGGAATACTGACCACCACATTAAAGCAGTTGGAATCTGTGTCCACAAAACAATGTCCTGAAGTGACTGGCAGTTGCCGAACTTTGTGTTGACTTGAGAATATAGTAACACGCACAAAACACAATAGAAGTGTGAATTAGCCAGCCTCTGGGGAACAGTGGGCATAAGCACTTTCCTACCTTGGCTTTTATGAGCTTGCACCAATTGATTTTGAGGTGATATTACAAAAGTGTTGCACTTAATATAAAACTGTTAAGAGAATGAGTAAGAATTCCCCAGCTTCTAGTTAGTTTGTGGTTTAATTGAGGGGAAACAGGCATTTGTTACAAGCCCCTGGAATAATCCTGTACTGAGGGACATGAAACCGCATTGAAATCTTAGCCTATAGTTGCATTTATGTCATGCCCGAAGGTCACCTCCCAATCGTCTGTGTTGACACTTAACACAGAATCAATGTTGCTTGGTATGAAAGGCCGTTTTAGTGCAGCATGCTCCAAATAGTTGACAAATGATACAGTCCTGCTCCAGTCGATCTTTGCTGTTATTTGTGGAGAGTGCTTGCACTTTATTTAGTGATATTCACAGTCAAGTGCCTAACTTGGTAAGAAAAATGTTTATATAATGGCAGTGAACTATTTTGTACTCGAATAGAGGGGAAAAAAAGCGACTGTAACTTTACACCATCTCAGTTTACATAGAATTACACTGGAATGCTTATTGAAACTATTAGTAAATATTTTTTCAAATGCGATTATAACTTGTATGGATTCCAGGTACCTGTACTGTAATTTATTTTAGGCATTTGGTATCAGTTCTACCCCCACTCCATTTTCTCTTTTCTGGTCTCCGCAGAACCTCCAGTTTTGCTCTGAACGCCTGAGAAATGTGCCTCAGTGTAGCCTGCCCTGCCCTCAGCTCAGTGCCTTGCTGCCTGTATGTTGTCCATTTCCTGAAGCGGACTCGCTCCAGCTGACAATTTGAACTGAAACCCTCAAACCTATCCTGTGTAGGACTACTGCAGTCAGTTCAGAGATGAGATTGTTGTGGATTGCAGTCTCTTTGCATTGGTTTTAAATGGACAATGTGTTGGAACACAAATGTGCATCCCACAGCACAGGGCTGATCTCTCGCTTTGGCACATTCATGGGCTGAACATACAAGGCACTGAGCTGAGGGCAGGGCAGGCTACACTGAGGCACATCTCTCAGCCAGAGGAGAAGAGATAGTACTCTGAGAGAGTGGACAATCCAGTTCACTGCTTATTAACTGAGTTGAGAAATTTGACAGCTGAGCGCGTAAAACATGGGCACTTGCCTGATTGAATTCGTACGTTTTTTTTTAAAAAAGGAGTTGAGCAATAAAGTGGGGAAACATTTGTGGAGAACTGATGAAGCTGGAAAGCGTGAAGGTTTTCCCTGTGGATTAGTGAGTGCAGTGCTTGGATGAGTCACCACATAACCGCGTGCCTCTTGGTGAACATTTGTTGAGTAGCCAAGTCCGATGACTGATCTGTGTGCGACTCAGCATTAAAATGTTCAGCACTCAAATGTTCCCTTACCTTCAACCTTCAGATCCTGATCCAACTTCCTGCTGGGTGAATAGACCAGTTTGCTCCAGCTAATGTTTCTGTTCTCCACACTTTCAAGCAGGATCTATGCAGAACTACAACTGGATGTTGGCCCAGGACACTTCAGTGCTGGGAGCTCATCGACTGGAAACCAGACCGAGATTGCAGGACAGGGAGCTACCTTCTCTTGTAACTCTTTCCGCCTGTCAGCGAGGGCAAGATCATGTGATCTTCATGGTCGTGCTTCAAGCAGGTTTCCCAGCAGTGAAGATGGCGGCTTGCAGATTGCATTCCAGTGTCTGCCTTCGTTGGCCTTTCAGCACGAGTTCAGAAATGCAGGTTATATATAGGCCTGCGGTGTTGAAAATCACCCGATGGTCCCAAGTGGTTGTAAACGTGTTATTAAACAAGGTGGACAAATATTCATGCAGTGTCGCCAGTTTGATTTGCAGCTTAATAATAAATAGATTGTAGTTGAAAGTGCAGACGTTCAGAGTTTCTGAATTGTTTAGCCATAGTCTGGTCCCAGAAGTATTGAAGTGTCTGAATGTAACTCGTGGCCTACAGCTGAAATATTTCACATTACACGTTTATACAAGGAGCAGTGGACTTTAATTAGGTCTAAAGTTTTTTCTAAAAAAAACTCAAACATTTTTCAGTGTTTTCAAATTAGTGTTACTCAATATTTCATTTTTTGATTTTAAAATAGACGTTCTGTCACTAATACAAATGGTGGTACTCCCATCCCTTGCTCTCTATCTCTCCTCCCTCACTCCCACCACATAAAAACTAGATGTGAAGCTAGAGTTCTATCCATTGAACTTCAAACATTGCACTTTCTGTGACTCAGTACCACCTAACATGCATTAAGTGCAAAATACTGTATTTGGGAGAAAAAAAGAGAACTGCCTTGAATAATCCGAGTTGGAGAGAAGAATCAAATATTACTGGGGCACCAGTTAGCTAGGGATTATCCTGATTTAGCAGGTCCACTCCATTTACTTTGCTGGGCTACTGGTTTGAGACAGTGTGGGGGAAATGCTGATTTCTCAAGAGGCTTTTGAAAGCATCTCAAGTGGTGCTTTCCACTGGCATTTCTGCAGAGAGCGGGATACCTACCTTGCCATTCTTTTGTGGCCCCGGCAGATACATGGCTTGGCCTACTTGTATTGCCTGGTAATGCAGGCTTTATTGATTTGAGTTGGTGCATGGCTTGGGAAGAGTGTGAGGGGCGGGAAATAACAATTAAAAAAAAAATGTGGATTTACGATCAGTAGATTTCTATGCAGAACAGCGTGCTAGTGGAATAGTAGGTTTTTCTGAAACTTATCAATCACTCATGTTAATTTTCCATAAGCTCAGCAGAAGATTGTTTTTTTTAACAAAACATAATTATGTTTGTGCTGAGCCTTTCTTCCTATGAACATTCCTGTTGACTAAATGCCACATTTGGGCAGGTATTGCTACAGCATGATAATTAACAAGAGCACTTCCCGTTTACAAACTTCATTGATGCGGATGCCTGGAAACCGAGTGCTTGACTGTTTGAGTGGGTGGAGTGCGAATTATACCCTTAGCAAATCAAGACTCTTTCCTGCCCCCCCCTCCTGATTCCCTACCAGCCTCCACAGTGCTGAGAAATAAGAGTGACAGACCTGGCAAAGTTATTCACTGAGCAGCAGCTGAACATTTCTTTTTAATATAGTTTTTTTATATAAAAAAAGAGTATACATTTATTAGAAAGTACAGTAGCTGCTCATTAACTAACTGAAGATTGTTGTGGTGCAAATGATTGCAATCGAGGGCATTTTCAGAAATCGTATTAAGCCATTCTCAGTACCATTTCAGCTTGTACACTGTAGTGCATAACTTACATTTTTCTTATTTGGGGAGGAAAAGGTTTACCTTCTGCGCTGGAATGAAGTCGTTTGGAATGTATAATTTACATTTACGTTTGGGGGCGGTAGTGGGGGAGGGGGCAGGCAGGTAAATGGGATAAAATGGATTGCTCTTTCGAAGAGCCAGTATAAATACCATGGTCTGAATGTGCTGTATATTTCTATTGTTCTACTGTCATGATTGCTCGATTGGAGAAATGTGAGGTATTCTGAATCTATTGTGCTGAGTTGGCAGCAAGTTACCATGCTGGGGTCCTACATCTAGCCCAGAGTTTAGATGAATTTGGTTCAGAAAGAAAGGGCAAAGGGATAGAAATTGATTATTCGAAGATAATGAACAATAAAAATTTGGAAGGGGGGAATTAGTCACAATTCTATGGAAAAAAGCAGGTGAGTATCAAAACATTTGATCTACTTCAAATTGTTTTACAATCTGCAAGTTTCTTTACTGAAACTTGAAACAAAATGTGAATGTCACAAGTATTTAGTATATTGTTTAAAATACTGGTAGAAATATTACTAACATTAAATTACTTTGTACAATGGTGCAGGTGAGGAAAGTTTTGAGATGGACTTGTGGGGGCAAGGGAGGGAGCAAGGTGCCGGGACGGTAGGATGTCATTCCAAACGTTGGGGGCAGAGAGGCTAAAGGCCTGAAAGGCTGTAACTTGGTTGTAAGGTGCCATCCTATGTGAAAGGCCCAATAAAAGTGAAAGCTGTTGTTGAATAACCTGCATCCTGTTTAATGTTAATGTAGACAATGTGACTGAGCTACTCATAACATGGGGATATCTTCATATTTTATTTAGGTTTTGTGCGTTAAACGTTCTGGGCCACTGACATTTTGAATGCAAATAGTTTAGTTATTGCTCTATCGGCATCTGTTTCCTTACAATGGGATTGATCAAACCCAACCGATAACCGTGAGGAATTTTGGTAAAAGTTCTGTGGGTTTGGGAGAATGAAACTAAGTTCAACAAAACGACTGCTGGACGGAATCCTGCCTTGCTGTATGATTCTCCAAATCGTTGGAAGTTTTTCAAAATCCTGCTGCATCCACCGTTTAAAAGAAATACTTTGCAAAACTACAAAGTTGAAGCATTTTACAAAGTGAGAAATGGACTGTGTCCGTACGTCACACACACACACACACTGTGCGAGCCTTCCTGCATGCTGTTGTGACTGTGTGGGTTCCTGGCATGCTGATTTGTGACATGAGATAAAAATCACATTGCCAGGGATTACCACGTAGCCACTGCCTTCTCTGCTGCTGTTATGGAAACCGCAGAAAATGTAACAAACACAAGCTAAAAAATGATAGAACCTAAAGGTTCTCATTTGTAAACAAAGGAGGAAGATTATCACCATGCCAATGCACGCCATTGGGGTAATCCACCCATCGAGCCTGGCCTCTCTGGCGAGGTGCAGAGCTTAGCTGATTGGTGAACAGTGATTGTTGTTGCTTTGTTCACAGTGGCTAAGTTCTGCACCTGAAGAGAGGGAATGATGACTGGGGCATTGGAAACCTGTGGAAAATGTCAGCAAGATCTGCCGGGAATTCTTCTAAACTACGTGCACTATTGTTCCTTTATTGTTGATCAGAACTCCAGTAAATGTGGATTTCCTGATATCTGTGTATGCAGCGCAGGTGATATTTAGCTTTTATTAACGTCAGCATTTTGGGGGAACTGTGGGATTGTACTTCATTGTATGGTTCTCCATTGAATGGATGCCGATTGGGGGGCACAAAGAGCTCGGTGACACATGAGGGCATCGGGGGCTGGTGAGGATTGAGTGTGGAGGAGTGGACCTCTTTGACCGTGCCTTCAGCTCCCCTCTCAACTCTCTACCCCCTCCTTGCTCCCTCCCTTCCCTCCCCTTACCATTTCCCCCTTGCTCGGGTCCTGACCCAACTGTACAGCGCCTTGGGACGTCCTGCCGACATGAAAGGCGCTCAATAAATGGAATCTTGTTGTTGTTGTTGTTGTTGGAGGCTGTGGTCAGTGTGTTAGTGGAGGCTGTGGTCAGTGTGTTAGTGGAGGCTGTGGGGTCAGTGTGTTAGTGGAGGCTGTGGGGTCAGTGTGTTAGTGGAGGCTGTGGGGTCAGTGTGTTAGTGGAGGCTGTGGGGTCAGTGTGTTAGTGGAGGCTGTGGGGTCAGTGTTTTGGTGCAGGATGTGGTGTCACTGTGAGGCTGTGGTAAAGTTGTCCTTTTCAGTGACACCAGTGATAAACATTGGTGCGGGTGCCACTGTTTAGATATTTTCCGAGTAGCAATGGCTGTATTAAAAGTGCCATCTGTAGTTGGACCCAGAATTCAAGTGGTAAATCCGATTTCTTTATTTTCTAATCTTATTATATAATGCTGGATTAGACGGATTCCTGGACGATGATTAATGTTAGTATCTATGGGAAAAGTATTCTTGAGTCCGATTTTTAAAGGGCCTTATTGGCATTGATCCATCTAGCAACGCATAAAGTCTTCAAAGAAAGCGATATACTGTAATAACTTAACAGGATTGACAGAAGTGTAAATAATTCTGGATGGAATACCAAGAGAGATTGGCAGTGTCTTGATTGGATTAAAATAAAAAGGTTTAAACACCCTTGAGCGATGGAAAGGTAAGTGGGTCGTGGGACTCTCCAGGCCAGAGTTGCTGGCTTTTGTCTAAGCAAGTTCAGCTCAACACAGGTGAACTCGATTTAAAATTTGTTTTTCATTGCAATTTAATTTTAAACGTTTTAGTTTAGTGGTTTAGCTTTAATGGGATCTAATTTGCGGTATTTCTTGAATGTTTAGGTTGCAATCATTAAAAGGATATCCCATTGGAATTCCCATTGACCCTGGAGAAGTCATCACTTGGGATTACCACAGGGTGGTGTGACATGTTCTTACCAGAAGGAGTTCTCGTATGCACAGTTCTAGATATTTCACATACTTTACTTTAAACGGATTTCCATACTTTTTTGTGGATTTCTTATCAAAGAATCTATTATCAAGAAATACTGTAAATCAGATCAAAATAGCTAAAATTGATGCTGAGGTTTTACATAGTTTCTTAACTGAATGTTGACGCTTGTTGCAGTGATGGTGTGCGTGTGGGCCTCAAATGTATAAAACTGAGTATGGAGTTTTTTTTTCTTTAAATAGAGTAAATGTTGCCAAGACAAATGGAAAAGCAGTAAATCTTGAAACCAACGCAGATCATATAGTGCACAAAATTTATATATAACACATATTTAGGGCCATGTGTCGACATTTGAACACAATAAAATATACCACAAACTGAAATAAACATGAACTAACTGTGAGGTAAGCATTGGGTTGGAGTGGTTTTGCCAATATACAGGTGAGTACTAATGAGGGGGGTTAGAACTCAAGTGTTTTGGGTTGAGCGATGGTATTGCGTAACTTCTATATTGCCTAGTTTTACACATGTAATTGTAGTTCATGTTTCAGTGCAGAGACTGTGGATAAATGCACTGAGGAGCATGCTGGTGGGACTCAACTGTACAGATCAAGGGGATCCCTGCTTTGATCCCTGGACTGAACTGTGTTATCATCATCAGGAGAGTTGTGGGGAACTACAATTGAACTCAGTCTCCCCAAGCTGTTGATGGGGAATGGACAAAACAAACCAACTGCTATCCAGTGACCTCTGACAAAAAGTATGCGAAATATCTAGAACTGGTGATGCACTGGATTAGCACCGTCCTTTCATCTCTAGGGCCTGGGTTTGAATCCAGACTGTACTGAATCCACAACACAGTCCCTTTCTCTACCAGCTGTAAAAGCCCAACAAGAAGTTAAGTTTAGAGTCTGCCTGCTCTGGGCACAGATCCATATCAAAAAGTGGTGCTAAATAAGCAACCTCACTTGAGAGGCATAAATATATCCGGTGAAGAAATTGCTACATTGTTTAATATATTTTTAACGTTGGGTGTTAAGGCATATCGTTGGGGGAAAAACAGAGTTTTACTGTGTGACACCTAATCTTAATGCTGACGCTAAGTGCCCAGAATGCAAAAGAGTTCCCAAGGACACAGTCCTCAGTATTGATGAGCACAGAAGATGAGGTATAAACAAAATTCTGGTTAACATTTACAAATGTCAACTGAAGGTTAAGGTACCTGATTTGCTCTCATTTGCACCTTGACCAGCCCTATTAACAACAGCATCTTTATATAGCAGGGTAGCATCCCAGAGCGCTTACTTAAATTACCAGAAAGTAAAGCAATCTGGTGCGCATTAGATTTGGAGAATCCAGGGAAGCCAAGTAAAACCAGTGATCAAAATAGGTGATGATATTTTACAGTCAATATTTATCTCATGATAGATAGTATTTTTGACTAGGAAATTGAACAAGATTAGTGCAGGTGAGTACTTTCAAAGTGCTGGCATATGCACATTTATCTTAAAAGTGGTTTGTGGCTGGCCATCCTGTTACTTGGGCAAAGGAGTACATTATCATTTATACTTATAAACATATCTTACACACACACACTCGCACAGAGTCGACGGCTCCCACCCCCCATATAAAACCATATATCATGTGAACATCTTACACACATACCAAGTTCACCAAATGTAACCTAATTGCATCTTTAAGTTTATAAAAAGGTGCATATAGATAGTACGTTGAATGTTGCTGTAGATTCCAGCATGTTCTGTTTAGTTAAGAGTTTACAGAATTTTCCAGATCTCCAAAAATAGATTCCTCATTGTTGATTGTGTCTGTTTGTGTATATGTAACCTCAATATCTGTAAATGTTCATATGAGTGTATTCTGAACTCTTAAAAAGAATACCAGATCAGGATTAATATTTAATTTACTGGATATTTTTAATATAAAATACTTCAAAGTGCCCAGAATGTTTTGCTTTTATATAATTATCAGTTTAAAGTACATTATACAATTTACAAATAACTTTCATATGCATTCCCAAGGGCTTGGAAAACAGAAGAATCTTTTTATTTCTGAAGCAATTTGAAACTGAGTAATGTTGTTGGAACTTGCAAGTATAAACAAGGCGATAAGAAATTGTTCAAAAGAGCTTGAGAAACCAATGCGCCTATATAAGGGGGTTTGACATTGTAGTTCGTCCCTCACAAAAAAACTTGCCAACAACATTACTCTCAAGCATATCAATCTTCAAATGAATTATTTTTCTCTGTGCTGGTACCATTTAAAAAAAAAAGAAGTATTTAGATTGTTCCCAAGAGTATCTTTGTCTTACCCTAAGCTGTATTCAAGGTACATAAAACTGCCAATATAAGTTAAAAATATATAAATCAAGTTTTATAGTGTTTAGGTATACAGTGTGTAGTGCATCCACCACAGTCCACCGTATCAGAGAAGGTGTGTAGTCTGCTTCATATCTGCTGAGACCACCCTAGCCATTAGGGCTTTGGCTTGCAGGGTTAACAGGAGCTGAGTGGGATGACTCCCTGCCACCAGTGACTGGTCTGCCCTTCCAGGTCCTGCTGATGCGCTAGGCTGGCTGTGCTGTCATCAGCAGTGCCCTGGAATACTGCGGCTCTGCATGGCTCAGGAACAGGACCGATTACCAAGACTGCCACAGTGGGCTCAATTCTGACATTCCATTGCAAACCTGCCACCTTGGACCCAGTTCAGCTCCAAGGAGACCACCCTTACCTCTCCCCCAAGGAGGACAGTCACTAGTTGGTCATTTGACATCTGACAAGCACAGGTTTGAGCTCTCACTAGGTGGATTGTAGGTACCAGGAACACCTTGAGCTTCCTGGTGGTCAACACAGCTCAGCATGAAATATGTGAGAGTATTGCCACCATCTTCCTGTCCGCAACTCGGGCACATGTCCCTTCCTGTTGAGCGATGGTCCCACCTGTTGGAGGTGCGAAGTTTAAGTAGCTCCTGATTGCCTCTGAAGGCCAGTCAAGGTGGATTCCAGACCCTGGATGTATGAACGTGCGTTCGCAACTTAAGACTCCACTTTGCAGCAGTTGTCAACCCAAGCCTCAGAGTATCCTCATCAGCTATCTGCGGGCATCTGCCTTCAGCGTGGTGGGAGGACCTTTACAGGACAGCTTGTGACATGCCAGCCATCTTGATATTCTTGAGGTTGAAGTGTAATGCCATGTACTGTTGCTTGCGTTTTTCTGATAGTTGAAAGTGCTACTAAAACACTGCAAATCTCGGATATAGTGAAAATGTCCACTGATGGTGTCCTGACCAACAATCTCCTGAATAAAACTGGTCGTTCACTTCAAGGCTGTTTGTGTGACACTGCTGTGCATAAATTGGCTGTTATTTCCACCTACAAAACGGTCAGTGCACTTTACAGTATACCCTGTAACCTGTGAAGCGCTTTGGGACGCATCCCCCCCAATACCCCCCCCCCCCCCCCCAGATGAAAGATGCAATTCCAAATGTAAGGATTATTATTCTAAATGCTTTGTTATTTCATGCAGGTTTATAATTTGGGATGCTCATATCTTTGTTAGCCTCTATTGGTTGAAGTTTGGATTGGACCTGATCTCTTGTGCCTACTGAGCTGATAACAGTTACTATCTTACATACTGGCTCAGTTCAGCAGGAACAGGAGTTGGGCCCCTACACAAAATACACTACAAAAGTGGGACGTCTACCAAGTGTTTCCTGCAAATAAATGGAGTAAAGAGGAAAACAAGACATCAGCTAATCCACATTCCAACACTGAACCACTTCTGAGTTCTTTAAAAAAGAATGAACATTCCTTCTGTTTCTGATTAAGGTATGAAAGCTTGCTTGCTTGCTTGCTTGTACTTGTTGGTTACATTCACAATCAATAAAAGAGATGCTAATATGAGAAAATGTCCAAGATGTTCATGTCTGTCTGTCAAATAGAAATTCACAATGTTTACTTAGTTTGGAATTTTACATATAGGTGTCAGCTTTGTTCATTTGGTAGCACTCTTCCCTCCCACAATGACCTATCTTCCTTGGTCACTCTTATCCAGCTCTCTCTCCACCACTCTCAAATCCCTTGCTCCCCTCACTTCCCGAATCATCCCCTACTCATGAAAGTCTCCATTGTACATCAGCCACCTCCGCTCCCTTAAAGTACAGGTGTGTGCTGCTGAACGCACCTGGCTTAAATTGAACTTAACAGTCCATCTGGAGTTTGACTGGACCTTATCAAATCTTACTGCTTCGCCCTCGCCTCCACTAAATCATTGTTCTATTCCAAGACAAACGTGGAAGCCAAGGACAACCCCAGGATCCTCTTCATCATCAACCAGCTCCTCCACTCACCCTGTCATGCCTAACCCATCCTCACCTCCAATGCCAACTACGAGACAATTCTGGACTTCCTCAAATCCAAAGTCAAGGGAGTCCGCTCAGCTGCCTCTGCCCTTCCGTCTATTACCCCCTCCCCCTCACATCCCAGCCCCTACCAATCCTTCCCTCCACACCTTCAAACCTGTCTCCCACTCCTCCCTCACCACCACTATAACCCTCATGAAACCGACCACCTGCTCCCTCGACCCCATCCCTACCCCTCGCCTTACCTCCTAGCTCCACCTCCTTGCCCCTCCACTCACAGACATCATTTACCTCTCTGTCCACTGGTACCATTCCCACCCCTTTAAAAACAGTCATCACTCCTATCCTTAAAAAAACCCTCCATGGACCCAATCCTGCTCTCAAACTACTGCCCCATCTCCAACCTCCCTTTCCTCTCCAAGGTCCTGGAACAAGTCGTTGTTTCCCAGTTTCGCTCCTTCCTCTATCGCTACTCCCTTCATAAACCCTTCCAATCAAACAGCCCTGGTCAAATTGACAAATTACATTCTGTCCATCTGCGATCAGGGCTCCCTCTGCCTCCTTGTCCTCCTTGACCTCTCTGCTGCCTTCGACACTGTTGACCACTCTATCCTCATCCATCGCGTCTCACACCTTAACCTCCACAGTGTATCCTTGAATGGTTGAGATGTAACTCTCACATCACCTGTACTTCATCTCCACAAAGGGTTTCTCCTCTAGCCTTGTACGGTGTTCCTCAGGGCTCTATCCTTAGTCCGCTCCTCTTCAATATCTATGTGCTCCCTCTTGGTGACATCATCCGCAGACATGGGGTCAACTTCCACATGTATGTGGATGAGACCCAACTGTACCTTTCTGCCTCCACTCTTGACTCCAGGATCACTGCTGTCCTGGCAAAACGTCTGTCAGACATCAAGTCCTGGGTGAGAGCTAACTTTCTTCAGTTGAATGTCAACAAGACCGAGGCTCTCCTGATTGGCTCCTGTCAGTGCCTCCTCACCTCAGGCGCTGACAGCATCACCATCCATGGATACACACTCCACTTTTCTAAGCCAGTCTGGAACCTTGGGGTCTTGTTTGACCCTCAACTATCCTTTCTACCCCTCATCTGCGCCATGACCCGTTCTGCCTTCCCCCACCTCCGCAACGTTGCCCGGCTCTGCTACTGTCTCACACCACAGGCCGCCAAAACCCTCATACATCCACCCTCATTCATTACATCCAGCCTTGACTATGCAAACTCCTTGCTTGTTAGCCTCCCCAACTCCTCCCTCCATAGGCCGCAGATCATTCAGAACTCTGCAGCCCGTGTCCTCTCCAGCACCAGGCTCCGTGACCCTATCACCCCCATCGTCGCCTGACTCCACTGACTTCCCATCCCACAGAGGATACAGTTCAAGATCCTGGTCTTCACTCTCAAAGCCCTTCATGATCTTGCTCTCCCTACCTCTGCGACCTCCTAACCCCCTACCATCCTGCTCACTCCCGCTGCTGAGTGGGCTCCAGCCTGCTTTACGTTCCCCGCCTTGCCCACCCTACCATTGGCAAGCGGGCCTTCTGGCACTCTGCCCCCACCCTCTGGAACTCCATTCCGCAGTCCCTCTGCCTCGCCCACTCCCTTGCCTTCTTCAAGAACCATCTCAAGACCATCCTCTTCGACCTTGCTTTCGATCATCCTGCTTCCCCGCTGCCCTCCACCCTCCTCAATCCCGACTCCCCAGCTCGGGTCCGAAACATTGACTGTCCAGCACCTTGGGACGTCTTCCTGATGTGAGAGGGGCTATACAAATGTAGTTTTGTTGTTGTTGAGTCAGATCCCATGTTGGGACCTGAGCTCAGTCACAGCTCAAGGAATATCCATGCCTGACGATTCCATAACAATACTGGGGAAATGATACATTGTCAGAAGTGACATTCTTCGGATCAGTTGCTGAACCAAAACCCATCGGCACGATTCAAAAAGAGAAGGGAGTTTCTCCTGGTGACTCAGCCAACAATCTCCTAGGGGCAAATCACTTTATGATTGATTGTGGAACATTATGTGCAAAATTAGCTGCCACGTTCACCTTCAGTCATAACACTTCACAAAAAAATACTCTATGAAGCTGCATTGTGATAAACCGCTTATCAAATGCAAAGATGATTATTATATAGCTTATCTTTTGGTTACAGACATAATAAAGGTGAAATTTGTTTAACTCCAACCTGTTAATATCTAAAGAAGTTGCCTGGCCTGTGTAAGAGAGTAGCCCCCACTCTCTCACCCCCACCTACTCAGCTGCAAGTGCTTGAGCATATATCCTGCTAACAGACACTCCAATGCTGTGATCCAACAAGGCTTAATTTAGTTTTTATTCTGCTGGATAGAGGATTTTTTTTACCCTTAAACATCGATAAAATGATCCTTGGTGCGTGGGGGAAAAAAACCTTGGCTTTAGAACAATGCATGTGCAAAGATCTTCAGTTTTTTTTTATATGCTACTGTTGTTTCTTTGTAATAAAGATGACAGAGATGAGTGTTCGAGCAGGGAGCCAACCCTTGTGGAACAGAATTTGTTGAACAGTCAAAAAACAAGGGTTTATACAACTGCTAAAATAATCAAGACACAAAAAGTCATTCAAAATTAATCTTCTGGGGGTAAAGAATGCAAGTGAGCATGCAATAAAGAGCCCAGAGAAAGCAGCATCTGTGAGCTTCCCGACATGAAGAAGTTTATGACATTCATTTGTAATTAAAGTTGAAGTTTGAGTACTTTGAAGCAATTCATCTTACTTGGATCCTGCAACAATATGCCTGACAGACTTGAAATGTATACAAATATCCATCTTGCTTCAGTCTCCTGTATCACATTTGTTTTTGTGTATGCAGGCAGATTAAGCTTAACCTTTAAGTAACTGCTATGAATACATGTGTTGTCAAGCACCACACAACAAATTTTACCTTACCCATAGTTACGTCCAAACATTATACAAAGTGTGTATAACCAAGATCCAAATAGTGAATTCATTAATGAATTCATTTTGTAGCAATTACTTATATATGCATATCCCTTTTGCACAGTTTAATGTTGGGAGGTGGTGAGGGCAAGGAGACCTGAAATATATGGGATATTTTGTTTTATTTCACTCAAATTAATTTCTGACTCACAATGAGGAAACGAGCTGGAGACCTGAATCTCATATGAAACCAATTGCGATGGAAGGGGAATAAGTTCTGGAGTTTACAACAATTTTTTTCTTGTACAATGACTTCAGAAAAAGACACATGGTGCGTTGGAGTAAACAGCAGGTAGCTTGGGGGCAGGTAATTACTAAATGCATTTTTGGCAAATGGTAACTGCTGAGCATATAGTTTAGCAGACAGCAGATGTTTAAAAAATCAAAACTATGGTGTCATTTCTCCTATTTCCCACAATTCCCACATCCACACCATTTTTGCCTCATTTCTCTTGCAATTTATATAGCTCTCTTCATGTCAGGAGGACATCTAAAAAGTGTGTAATTTATTGGAAAATGCACTTTTTTTAGTGGAACAAGACAGCTGATTTTCACACAGCAAGTTTTTTTTCCTTTAGGAGAAGGAAGCACTGGATGCAAGAGATTGGAACTGGGGACTTTTAAAGCACTTTTATTTGGTAATGTTCTTCAAAGAACCAGTCAGCGTTTATGGATCTTATCAGATTAATGCAGGGACCAGCATTCTTTGGTGTGGTTTTAAAGTGTGAAACAAAATGTTCTCTGTTGTACCACCTAGTGTTAGATTCATTATATTCCTGTAGTCTCCAGTTAGATCCCTGAAATTCAGTTGTAGCATTCTCTAGCCATGTTTTCTGTGCTTTTTAACTTAGGGTTGCAGTCCACACACTGACCTCTAGTGACAATGCAAGCCCAGGATTAAGAAAAATATACGTTTCACATTTTTGAAATTCAAGACATCACTCAAATACCTAACCATTCATCAGTGCCACATGACCACCTAAATTAAGGCAGTGTATCTAAGCTTGGATAAAAACATTGGTGGATACCCCAAGTTGCCTTCCACAGCACAAGGTAAATGTCAAGCAGTGTGAATAGGCAGTAAAAATATCTACAGTTTATTCAGGTCAGCCTGCGTCAGACACTAGGAATGTGAAAGCAGATGTCTCCTTTTAAAGAAGCACAGAGTTTCAATGGATCTCTTTGGCATAACTGCATCATAAAACCAGAAAAAAACCCTGCTCATTTATCCTTCATACTCTGTTCTTGCAGGCAAGAGGTTTGTCACTGAACTAATTTGTACTATGTTTAAAACGAAGGTTGGGCCCAGGCTCAAAACAGAATAGACTTGGAGTTCCTACGTTAATTTGCCTACAAATACACAGTCACTACACTTTACAGTAAAATTGTTTGAAACTTGTGGCATTTTAACAATTGGATAAGGCGCTACATCAAATGCTAGGATTATTATATTATTAATTACCAGTGCCTATCATGGACTCCTGCAGCATAAAGGTTATAACAACAACAGCTTGCACTTATATAGTGCCCTCCACGCAGGGTAGCGTCTCAGAGGTCTTAACTGTGGTGGAGCCTGACTCCGAGCCGGGGGGAGGTGGGTGTAAGCACGGTCGAAGAGGAAAGTTTTCAGGTGGGACTTGAAAGAGGGAAGAGGGAAGGTAGAGGAATTGAGAGCGAGTGTTCCAGAGTTTTGAGGCGTAGTAGCTGAAAGCGCAACCTCCAATGGTGGGGAGGGTGCGAGGGATGAGCAGGAGGCTGGAGACTTTATAAGGTGCTCTATCAAATACAAGGATTATTATTATAACACATTATTATTACTATTATACATTATTATTATTATACATTATGTGGAGTCCTGTAGCTCAGTAGTTAGAGCACTCGCCTTGCAAGCGAGGCACCTGGGTTCAATTCCAGGCAGGGGAAACCTTGGGCAAGTTTCTTTACTCCAAACACCTAATAATATTCCCTCCAAAAAACAAAATAATAATAAATTGGTAATTTTCAATCCACGACTGTTTGTGGGACACTGCTGTGCACAATTGGGACGTCCTCCCGACGTGAAAGGCGCTCTATAAATGGAATCTTGTTGTTGTGCGCAATTGGTTGCCGAGTTTCGCCCACAAATATACAGTCAATTCACTTTACAGCATATTCCGTGAAGCTCTTTGAGACGTCTAGAAGACGTGAAAAGCTCTGTATCAAATGCAAGGATTATTATTATTATTATTGCAACACATGAATCTCGCACTTCCATATCACATTCCCTATACACCTGGTTAATTGTGGGCAAGCATCATTCTCCAGTTGCTCTAATAGTAAGATAAAGACAGTGACAACACAATCTGCAGCATTATTATTTTTATTTAACTGCTCACTCTGCTACAAGTTCAGAACTAAGACATTTAAAGACTGCAATACACTTATCACCAACTAACATACAGAATAAGGCAGAGAATCCTGTGCCTGGTGTTATACAGAGTTTTGCTGCTTATAATTTCCTGATTTTTAAAAAAAACGGATCCATTAACAGGGTTTTTACAACACAATGTTTGCAGTCAAAATATTAGAAAAATAAATGTGAAAAAACAATTGTTTAAACTATCGATCTATTATATAAACAAATACAACTTTCAATCAACTAGACATAATTACTGGAATGAGTGAAATACACCTTTCAGTGGGGTGTGTGTTGGTTGCACTGTCCTGGGTTGGGTTTCTGACAGAACTTCTTGCAGAAGTTTGATGGTCATCTGAGACTGATAATCTGTGGAATCTTTGTGCCGTTGCTTGTTTTGTCTGTGGGCAATACTACCCAGTAGCTCAAAAACTCCATCAGCAGCATCTCCAGTTAGAGTCAACTGCAACAACAACAACAAATCACATTTGTATAGCGCCTTTCACGTCAGGAGGACGTCCCAAAGACTGCAACAAAGAGGGCACAGAAATGTGGATATTTGAAGAGAGACAAAAACACATCACCCCTATTTAAATGCTTTAGCAATATGAGAGTTCCTTAACTTACAGAACTTAATATAAAAAGAATTATTGAAAATATAATTTAAAAAGTATTGTGCATTTTTATTTGCTTACAACTATTATAACCCCAATAAGACACAACTTTGTACCATTAATAGACTCCACAAAAAAGTCTTAACTGAAGCAAATGTTAATATTCACTCTACAGCCATTTAAAAATGTAAACATATTATTATTTTGAGATAGGTGAGGAAGGGAAAAATATTGCACACACACAAGACCATGTTAGACCTAATTCTGCACTAGCTCTCTGAGACTACCAGCCAGCGAGTCACATCCTGAACTCAAATGTTTCAGGTGTGACTTTTCCATCCTTATGTACATTTGTAGATCTTCCAGGCAGCTCCATATTTAGAAGCAAAAATCCAAGATTGTAATGTGTAGTGTTTATCCCTGCGATTAATGTAAGATCCAGGCAGTAACAGAACCAGGCAGGTATATATACCATTGGCCTACCCAACTACTGCTGTGGATCAGTGGCTTTTGGTCCCATCTAGCATCACTTCTAGGTTTGTTAGTGACCTCAAAGACACTACATACTGCCCTCAGGGACTATTAGTTTTACCTGAAGGTGCTTCAAACGGTTAATTTCAGAGTTGCCAGCTCTGACATAGTTTTTGAAATTCTCTGTGTTCTTTGAATCAAACATGACAAGAAAAATGCCGATGCAAGTTGTGGAATGTTTTTGAAGCTTGAAACTCTAAAACAACAAAGGATTATTTAAAATCCAGAAAACAAGGCAGTAAAGCGCGTTTCTCTCAATGATGGATTACCTGCATAAATGCTCCATGTACAGCATATTCCTTATGCTGTGTGGATTTGCTGTTTATTGCAAAGGAAAACTGCAAAGCACTTGTTTTTTCAGAACTTGTAACAAGGATCAAGTGTAGTCATTCTGATTTGCAGTCACTCAACTATTTCATTCTAAACCTGCTCTGCTAAATATTTTATTTGCCTCCAACAGAACCTCAACATGTTCTGAATAGTAACCCAGCTAAAAGGTGGGAAATTGAATTCCTTGACATTTCTACAACTTTAAAAGCTTGAGCAACTGAAGCTCGCAGTTTTTCCTACTGGTGATCAGGACCTTTGTAAACCAACAATGATAGGTGATGAGAACATCATTCATCTACTGTTCCTCTGGAGTGCTCCAGGAAGTTACGAGGTGTGGAGGCCCTCTTGCATTCTGTAAGACATAGTCCTGGTAAGCTTCTAGATCTGCTATCCAACGGACACCTCAGTTTCAAAGCACTTTGTCACATTACACTGGTCCAAACAGGTACTTAATGTACACAGGTATACCATACCTTTTATAGTGCTCCTCAATATTACACTAGCTTGGGTATAATGTGGACTTGCGTACTTCTTCATGTACACAGTACGCAGCCATAATAGATCATATATCAGCAAAACACTCCAGAATGTTAACAATATTTTCTACACATGATCACTGGCCAGTGAAGCTACACAATGGGTGTTAAATTCTACCCATTCAGTCACTTCAAATGTTGTCATCTGAATATCGAGTGCTGAATGCAGTCCTAGGGCACTGGATTTGAAATGGTTATTCAATTGCTGGTCATTCGATCGCTGATGAAACGGAGCTAAATTAATGTCCATTTTACGCTTTATTCTCCCTGGATTTGTACATCTGGCACCTGCAATGCCACTCTCAGTAAACCCAGAACCTTCAATCAAAGTCATCGGTGCTGTTTTAGTAAAAACCTACCAACAAGAACATAAGGCAGTGAAATGAAGAGACCAGATTATGGCAATCAACAAAGGACAATGATAACTTATTGTCGTTCACAAATCACAGCGGATCACATTTCCGAGTACTTACAAGTTGCACAGATTCCTTAGCTATTCCATGGCCGCCAGCAGAACACAGCAGAAAGCTCATAATAAGGTGATTGGTCATGTCTTTCAGAGGACTTTGCTCTGTGCTGAGGTGCCTCGCAGTTAAAGCAGTTTGCAGGTCCTCGAGATTCAAGTGGGTCGCATTGACAAGCACCTTTAGATGGTCATACAGCAGCTTCACATCTGCCTGAGGGAGGATGGGGCGGTGGGGGTGGGGGGGGTTGGGAGGACATGACAGTAGACTATAATGATCAATACTTTTGGAAAAGAACAATAACAACAAATTACATTTGTATAGTGTCTTTCATGTCAGGAGGACGTCCCAAGGCGCTGGACAGTCAGGGATCTGTACCCGAGTAGTTAGATTCACTTTCAGTATCTATACCTCTGATAAATCAGTATGTGCGCAAATCATTGTGTGGATTATTAACTAGATAGAGTACATACACACATGAATGTCTCAGTGGCCAGTGAGATAGAACAAACAGAATCCAGGCAAAGTGGAAAATTCTGATCCACTCTGCTCTCCACTGCCAGATTAATTTATAGGGCACTTGGCCAGCGTCTGCTTTTTTCATAATGTAAGGAAGCAAAGAGAGTCTCTTAACAGATGCGATCAACATTTTGGGTGTGGGAAAGCAATGGAAAACTCCTCCAGCAGTTCAATTAGAAATCACGCTGACAAGGATCAATGAAATCCCATCATAATGCAATTTGACCTGAACCTGTGAGATGTTCTGATCTCAGTTAACATTTCAGGGCAACTTTTCTATTAAGTTTAAGGTTTATTTCTAGGCAAGGGGGGCATTAAGCATTCGCTCTGACAGAGTTGAATTTCTGGCCAGTGGAACAAATCAGAATATAAAATTGCCCATATCACTGTTCAGATTATAATAATATATAACATATTATAGCACTAAGCTGCATGCAACAAGGGATTCAGCAGATTTTACAGTGAAATAGGTTATAGAGACAACTGAAACAACTCTAATACTGATGCTAGTCTGAGGCATCCTATTCAGCACAAAGTTCTGACAGATTGCTTTTAGCCATTACTAGACGCTTACTCGATCCGAGATTGCTAGCATCAAATACATTTGCTAAAATTTTACATTTGGTCTCTCTCCTACACCCCACTCCCATCCTGAGTTCTTATTCTTAAAGAATTTCAGGCTTTCGAGTTTATACTCAAGCACATTTTGTATTTTTGTTCTGCGTCTTTTTGGAATTTATCTTTGGGAATGTTGCGTGCTATGATTTAGAAATGGCTCCTCAATACCAAACACTTCTCTCCCACTGGCCCTCACTGGGGCATACTTCTGCAGGGGAAACCTAGCTAGTCTCCAATATTACTCAAGGGCGCATTTTTCAGGCATACATTTGGACAGTGAGTGCTGTCAGGCTACTTGAGTGAAGGGAAGAGAGGAAAATGGAGCAGTGGGAAATGGGGGTTAGAATCTTAATAATAATGCTTGTATTTCACATAGTGCCTTATCATGTTGTTGAAATGCCTCAAAGTGTTTCACAGGATTTTGTTTTAATGTAGAGTACAGTGATTGCATTTTGTGGGCAAAGGCGGCAGACAATTGCGCACAGCAATGTGGAACAACAAGCCATGAAATGATTTATCAATATTACTTGGGGGATTTTGGGCCAGGACACCAGGAGAAACTCCCTTCTATTTTTGAATAGTGCCATGGGATCTCTAACGTCGACCTGACCAGACATGCAGGATCTCAGTTTAACAACTCATCCAAAGGGTTGCGACTTTGGCAATACTGCATTACCCAGCAATGGATTATAGTGTCATCTTAGACTATGAACTCAGTCTCGATGTGGGGCTTGAAACTTCTGATTCAGAAGCAAGAGAGTGCTACCAATACAGCAGGCTAAATTTTCCCTTCCTTATCCCTTTGTAACATGTCTTCAATAACCTTGGCTGCGATCAGCTAATTCACACAGACCAGAGACCTGGAACCTTTATGGTTACACACTGAACCCAAATGTTTCATAAAACCGAATCAGTTACCAATCAATCAACTGTTTAGATTTTGTCAGCCACAAATGAGTAGAAAATCCCTGTGTCATCTATGCTGGAAAATTGGTCAGAGTGAGCAGGCACAGCTTGAAGCTCAGTCATTTCATATGCTGGAAATTCATTATAACATTAAAGCCAAAAGCTAGAATGAGTGAACAGCAGAGGTTTAGACTTGTGCTGTGCTTTTTTTATCCCTTGCCAATTTTCTTCCCCTTTCTCCTGTCCTCAAGGCGTTTCACTCCCTCTGGCATTCATGCCGTGTGAAATTAAGTGTCAGCTATTTGACTGGTGGTGATGGGGGTGGGATGGAAAACAATATCACAGCCTGATCTGATCTGATCTTTACACTTTGTGGGACATTGCTGCACGCAAATCAGCTGCCACGTTTAACTACAAAATACTGTAAAATCTTGTGGCGTACTCTGAGATATCTGACTGACGCGATAAGGCCCTATATCAAAGCTCATGGCCTTGGATTGCCCTGTTAGTGAAATACCATTTTTTTAAAATTAAATCAAAGGGAACAACCTCACACCCAGGAATTAGGCAATCTCAGGCACTCAGTCACTGATCACAGGCTAATCTCTTTCCCAGGGGAGAGCTATACACTTCTGATCACTGAACCTGTAGCATATTGCTTAAGAGCAGGATAGCAGCCCATCCTTTGAACTTGGGAGGTATACAGCACAAACATCAAGTCTGTGCTGGTGCTTTTCTCTATGTGAACTTCCTAATCCAACCCCACTCTCCTGCTCGCTCCCCATATTACTTTGTATTAAGCATTTATCTAAATTCCCTATAAAAAAATTTTTTGACAACATGTGGCAGACAGCCACATTCCAACCACCTTCTGTGCAAAGATGTTTAACTTCCCTTCAATTCCCTTTATTGCGATCTTAACCGTGTCCCCTCTTGTTAGTGGCCGTGTACAAATGAGAAAGAGAAAATGACAATCTATTTGTTCTATAAAATGTGTGTTGCGGGATCCCCACCAGTAAATGATCTTCTTGTTGACTTTGGTTGGATGGTTTATAGTAAAACATCAAAAGCCAGAGCAGCATCTCAGTGATTTCATCCTCTCTTCTCATCAGCTCCTGTCCTGCAATATTCACCCAGTCTCCAAAATGGGCCAGCAGAAACCAATTCTGGAACAGATTTTCGGCTTTTCTGTTAAAAAAAATGAAACGTTAACATAAAAATAAAGAAAAAAATATTATTTCTTCTTCTTGACATGAGGTCAAAAACAACCTTTTACATCCGTGACTCCAAATATAGCTTTTGGTGTTTTTTTCGTTTGACTGTTACCAGCCTCGGGCAAGTATGAAGTTCACTGGACAGCTGTTCTTGTCTGGTGTTGCTGCTATCATCATCGTCCAGGAATCCTGCAGCTCATCATTAATTCTCTAGTATCGAGCGAAGCCTTATGCAGCTGTTTGTGTGAGCAAATGTGCTCATAACAGTCAGCGGATGGTTTAATCTGTTATTACAGTCTGTTCCCACAAGAAAATGCTTGTAAAAACTGAATTGGTGCACCTAGTCAAGTCTGTAAATAATTGCTATCACGCACTGAGAGTCTCAATAGGGCCCGCACGAAAAACATTCATTCCACAAATATGTGAAAGATTTAATGCTGTGAGTGTTGCCAACCCAGGAAGCCAATTCATTTCAGCAGTGTTCAGTCCCTGCATTCTTACTGTCAAAAGCTGGCCAGTGTTGGCATTGTAGTTCAACCTCCAATGACAATGAGCAACAACAACAACAAATTACATTTGTATAGCGCCTTTCACGTCAGGAGGACATCCCAAGGCGCTGGAGCAGGTTTAACCCAAGCTCACTGTGTCCAAGCTGATATTGTGCGTGTCCAATCTCTCCCCCCCGCCCCCCCACCATGTAAAGTAGGATGAATCAGGCACAAAGAAATGTGAGAAACGTATTTATATAAATGAAAGTTAAATGGAGTATTTCAGGTACAATTAATGTGAAAGAAAATTTAAAAATACGTTTAGAATAGAGCAGAATAGAATACGATGAAAGTGAAGAATATAAAGTGTTTTTCTATTTTTAAACAAAATATAACTACAAACAAAATATAACTACATTTTTATGACTAAAGCTGAAGTCAAAGTTAAAATAAATATGCCTGAATGAAAGTTTTCCTTGGCACGGTAAAGGGTTAAGAATTACAAGCATTCCAAAAGATGGACTGACATGTAACTGCATTTTTGCAGGAACTCACATGCTTGTGTGAACTTTGCTCCTCACACCAAACAGATTCCTGGCTTCTCTAGCCTTAACTAATCATTTTTGTTGCAAACACCTGACTAAATAACTGTTTCAATGAGACAACACTTTGTGACACATTAAAACAAACCTTCCTTTGTGCCATCAGCTTTGAAGATTTAAAGCATTAAAATATTTTTACCTGAAAATAACCTGGTGCAAAAAGGACTGATCTGTCACACTGTGGTACAAAGAGCACATATTGTATTCACCAACTAAACCCCACCCTCTGAAAAAACGGTTGGTGATATCTTAGATTAACTTAATAGTAACTACCCCTTTTTTTCTTTTTACACACCATTTTTCTCCGATTATCTCCTGAAAACTTTCATTCTTTCTGAAGTGCAGCTCCACGGAGCAGCATCTCATTCAAATAGCTGTCTCTGCATGCATGCCCAGAATGTTTGAGGAGGCAATTCGGCTGACGAGATACAATAACAACCTGCACTCTATAGCACCTTTCACTCAGAAGGAATGTCTCTAAACATTTCAAAGATGATAAGGTGCACAAAGCATGGAGGATAGGAAGGAGAATGTAAGGGTATTGAGAGCAGCCTTTACATTTTTAAACAAAATATAACTACAAACAACTCAATTTTATTGACTAAAGTTGAAGTCCATGTTAAAATCAATGTATATGAATGAAAGAGAAAGGTTTGAATGCACGGAGACAAGAGCAAGGTGAGAGCAGAGAGCATAGTGTTCGAGGCCTGACCACCGTTCGTAGGACAAAGGGAGTGAGGAATGAGCAGGAGACCTGAATTGGAAGACATTGGAAGAATTGGGAGGGAAAATAGGACTGAAAAATATGGTATAGACAGGGAGGGGCAAGACCATAAAAGGATTTGAGGGGAAGCATCACATTCTCTGCTAGTGAAATCATTTGTTAATACAATAACCTTATAGCATAAAAGTCACAAAATATGTTTTTGAGCAAATTATTGATGTTTGCCAAATGTAATAAGATAGATGTAGCCTTTAAATGTTACATTTCTTATTTTAAAACTCAACATACTTCTTAAAATTTACCGAATGTTCTGAGCTTAGTTATCTTGTTTTGGTGTACAATATACAGGATATAATGGCTGCTGAACCTCCCAACAGGCCATTTGTCGATTATCACATCCACAATAATGTAGACTCAATAAGTACAGGTTAAAAGGGTCAAATTATAGGATGTGATGAAATTTCACAGCAGTTTTCCAAGTTAAAGTAATTTACTTTTTCTTTCAGAAAAATCCAAAATGTTTACATTAAGGTTTCAAATCACAGCCTGGTGTAGTTCACATGTCACATGAGATGTGATCATTAGGAAATTGATTTTTTAAATGAAATAAACACAGCCTGTAACCATCAGTGTATTAGCAAGTTCTTATTACATTACAGATAACTGCTGAAACATGACAAATGTTCTTAGGGAACAAAGGTTCACATTGTGCCTAATATAAACAAGTGGAAATAAGATCCATTATTAGATATCTCTGAGAACCCTCACTCAGCCATAGTTTCTAGCAAAGGGTGAACACTCACCTTGTCACCTCTGCCTCTTGCACATTTCTCTTCAAAATCTGAACTATATTGCTAAGGTGCTTGGACCAAACAGCAGATGGGATGTCTGCAGAAAGTATTTTAAAAATGGACAAAACAGAGACATATTTAGAAAACAATTCAACAAAGCATTTTCTTATTCAATTATACTTAAATATTAATTCTTAATTCTATAATTTATATCCCCTGATCTCCCCTCTCTCTTGTCCTCTTGTGTATTCTCTGGCTAAGGGAGGTAACTAATCTTCACACAATGCACTTCCACAAAAATATTGGGCTTGTATAACTGCAACAAGGAATTACTCAATTCTTTCATTTACCCCATGAGGCAAAATATTCGATCTCCAATTGCTGCCTCCCATGGTCAAATGCAAACATAGATTAACCTACACATTTCTAAGACAACCACCTCATCGATCCAAAAAAGCCTTACATGTTGAAAAGCTTTTCATACTGTGCCGAAGACTCTCAACTCATTGTGCAATGTCGCTTTTCATGGCATGCCTGTCAGCCAATATGGGGAGCGCAACTTTAAAAGGAGAACATATACAATACAATATGCCAAACTGCACATGTATTAAAACACTGTCGCCCAATTTTATTGTATGTCGGTCTGGTCTCCTCTCTGACCCTGTTCAATGTTTCTTGTCCAAGCCACCAGTCTAGCACTTAAGTGTATTTAATCCCTCACACGTCCACCCCCTCCCACCTTCCCTGACAGCACAGACACTGAGACTTCCAAAAGCATTTCTCATGCAAACAAATCAAAAGTTTTCATTTGGCGTATGGCTGTTCAAAGGTCAGCCCTTCAATTGCCCTTCAATCAGTGAATCTGATCCTCTATAAAGACTTTTTTTTGCAAATTGTTATCTTTGCAATAACTTATTAACTTATTTTGCAATAACTGGAGATTAAATGCATCAAAATAGTGGATATTTTCATTAACAGAACATTATTTTTGGTTCAATACAACAATACCCAGATGATGCTGAACTTTTCCCGTCTCCCAACCTGTGATAATTCGCTATCATCAAAGTGATCTACAACAACAACAACAAGATTGCATTTATAGAGCACCTTTCACATCGGGAGGACGTCCCAAGGCGCTGGACAGTTGGGTCGGGACCCGAGCATTGGGGGGAAATGGTCAGGGTGAGGGAAGGGAGGGAGCGAGGAGGGGGTAGAGAGTTGAGAGGGGAGCTGAAGGCACGGTTGAAGAGAAAGGTCTTGAGACCAGCCTTGAAAGAGGAAAGGGAGGAAGCGGCGAAGGCACTGGGGGATGGAGTTCCAGAGCCTGGGGGCTGAGAGGCTGAAGGCCCGACCACCGATGGTAGGGCGGTTGGGGCGGGGGATGTGGAGCAGACTGGAGCCAGAGGAACAGAGGGTACGGGCAGGTAGGTAGGGGGATAGTAGGTTGGAGAGGTAGGAGGGAGCAAGGCCGTGAATGGCCTTGTAGGTGAGGATGAGGATCTTGAATTCGAACCTCTGGGGGATGGGGAGCCAGTGGAGGTGAGCGAGGGTGGGAGTGATGTGGTCCTGGTGCGGGACAGTACACGAGCTGCAGAGTTCTGAATGACCTGCAGCTTGTGGAGGGAGGTGGTGGGAAGGCCGGCGAGGAGAGAGTTCCCATAGTCCAGCCTTGAGGTGATAAAGGCGTGAACCAGGGTTTCAGCAGCGTGTGGGGTGAGGTAGTGCCGTCGTCTGCCGATGTTCCGGAGGTGGTGGAAGGTGGTGCCAGTTGTGGCGCGGACGTGGGGAAGAAAGGACAGCTCAGGGTCGAACAGAACGCCGAGGTTCCTGACTGGTTTTGAGAGGTGGAGAGTGCAGCCTTGGATGTTGATGCTGTCAGCGCCTGAGGTGCGGAGGCGCTGACATGAGCCAATCAGGAGGGCCTCAGTTTTGCGCACATTGAGCTGAAGAAAGTTTTCTCTCGTTCAGGACTCGATCTAAGCACTGGAGCTGATACCGGGTATTATATAGGGATGTGCAGGGTCAGAAAACATAATTTAAAAAAATACTACACTTCTCTCTCGTGTGCCTTCAATTAATTTGTTTGCCAAATAGTTATTCCTCTTGAATATGCTGACCTGATGTACCAACTTACATCCCAGTACACTCTATTCCACATATTCTCTGGGTAAAGTAGTTCAATCAAAACTGTTCACCTTCGCTCTTGTGAGCTTGAACCATTACTCCTATTGCAGCAGCGTTTGTGACTATGTTAAACATATTCTGCAGCACCAGTTTATCTGTGACATTCAGGATCCTCAATATGTAAATGAAACCTCCCAACAGCTCTCCCTTCTGTAGTGTAGTTCCTCACTATAACTGGTGTGCCTAATCAGTTATCAATTTGGTTGACTTTTGCTGCAGCCTCGAATGCCAATTTATTTTTTTAATTTGCATTTTTNGTACATAAGAACATAAGAAGACCAAGGCCCATATTTGCCTTCAGTTTGCCTTCCATCCTGGCAGTCGCATGCACATGTCATGTCCCAAACTATTTTCTGTATCCCACGATATTATTTCTGAAAATAAATCTATCTAATTTGCTTTTGAAAGAATCAGCACTTTCTGCTTCCACCATCTCCTTGGGAGTCTGTTCCATACATTTAATTTAATTTTTTAAAAAAACTAATTTTAATTGGAACCTTTTTGAAAAAAAACCCGACTTTTTTTTCACATGTAATTTAAAGTGTTTGCACAATATGCATATGCTGGAAGGAGGGAGTGATAAAATAGTTTGCACAGTGCAAGAATTGTAGTATGCCTGTGCAATGTACAAATTGCTGTAGAGTTTCAAACAAAAAAAACTAGGACTAGGACAGACTCTGATGATTTACACACTGAAGGAAATACAGCCTGAAGCCAAGACAAAGGGATTATAAGAACAAGTTCTGAATAGTGTAATTTATCTGATAGCAATAAATAAAATCAACCATTCAGCTAAATGTACCATCAAACCATAGATCACTGTCTCCGTTTCAATGTACTATAATCGTTTCCTTTATTTTCGTTTAAATGCCCTCCTTTTGTTTAGCTTGATTACTATCGATTTGGGACACTTCAGAGGAATAGACAGTGAAGAAAGTAATTTAGCCACAAATTAACACAGATAGATATAGCAGAGCAATTGTTTCACTGAGCCTTACAGAAATAAATTTAACATGGAGCTGGAGTGAGAGGAGGGAGGCAGAGGAAGATATAATTTGTCTTGCTTGCACACAGGCAGTTTTTAGGTCTATCCAGTTTTCTTCACATAAACGCTATCTGAGCTTCACTTGTCTCAGGAAATCATGACGCCATGATTTATCTGTCACCTCACGCATCTTGCATTGAAAGGAAGTATTGTTTGGCTGATGTGCAGACAGTACTAGCTTTCTATTTGCCAATCTACGCAGTTAGAACTGAGGTCAGGTAACATGTCTTCACAGAGTTGTGAAGATCTGGAGTGCTCTGCCCCAGAAAGACAAAGAAGCAGAATCAATAGGGATGGATGTGCATCTTTGTGCTACAATCGGTGGCCAACCCTTGTTCCTATGCCCCTAATCTTTGAAACTCCCTTCCTCTGCCATTCCATCTCTCCCAATGTCTTTCTTTCTTAAATCCTGCTTCAAATCCGACTTCTTCAAACTACCTATGAACACTTCCCCCTCCTCCTTGCTCGATGTCCACCCTATCCTTGTACAGCACTCCGAGATGCTACCCTATGTAACGGGTGCTATACAAATCTACTGTTGCTCTTGATTAAAAGATTTTCCAAAATCTAGCAAACTAGTGGAATAGACTTGTTGAGCTAAATGGCCTCCTCCTGTTTTTTTCCTATTTTAGTTTCTAAGACAGTTACTTGTGTCATTTGGAAATGAGACTTTAGGTTCTATGATCTTTGCGTATGTTTTGCACCCATTTTACACGATGAACTGGGACTGAAATGCAGATATACGTTATAGGAGAGTATAAACTATATGCAATAGCCTTTACATTTAATGTGCATTTGTTCCTTGATATCAGATGCATCTAAAATCAGAGCACATGGAATTGTTCTCCATAGAACACTGTGACGACACATGGAACAATATTAAAAAGGTAAGTTAATCAGCCCAGCCCACAAACAATGCAGGATTATAGCGTGACAAAGGCCCAGCTAAGGAGCAGGAATTCTGCTGCAATCATAATGCAATTAATTTATGAGATTGGGATCAGATCAGAAAAGTAGATAATAAAAATTTAAGTGGAGAAGAAGACCATTCAGCCCATCGGGCCCACACTGGCTCTCAGAAAGCTGTCCTTTCAATCCCACTGTGCTGTTCTATCCTTGTACCCCTCCAAGTGCTTTTCTTTCATATACCTGTCTACTTCCCTCTTCAAATTCACAATGGACTCTACGTCTACCACCTTACTTGGCAGGGCAATCTACATCCCAACTCCTGAATGGCAATAAAAGCATTCGGAACAGGAATCAGCATTGTTAAAAATTTACTGCGAGCCAATATTGAGAGGCTTCATACTAAAGTACGAAGTTTCAAAGGAACCCAAATCAATTTTATCTAGAGGAATTCCCTGAGTGTATGCTCCAATATAAGAATGGGCCAAGCACTGCCAGAAAAAGTCAGGAAAAGATGGATAATTTTGATGACTTTGCACAAAGAATATCATATAATAGAGGTGATTAGTGATTTGATAGGAGAAATTTAAGATAATAGAGGTGTTTAGGGTAATGAAAGGGTTTGAAAGAATTACGAAAAGCCTTTTCTGCCTGTAGGGGATTCCAGGACAGGATTGGGACTCAGCGTGTAAAACCAACACACACTTAGAATCATAGAAATGTATAGCACAGAAAGAGTCCATTTGGTCCTCAGGTCTGCATCAGCGCACGGAGAAATCACACTACTCTGCCCTACCCCCATACTCCTTCAACCGTTATCTTTTATATAGTTGTCTGCTTTCGACAACACATTGCCTTAGATAGTGCCTTTCACATGGGGAAGGCGTCCCAAGTGCTGGACGTCGAGCGTTTCAACTGAGGTGGCGGCTGAATTTGGAATTTGAATTTGGAATTTGGAAGGGGTGGGGGCCAAGGGGGGAGGATGACCGAAGATACAGTCAAAGAGAAAGATCTTGAGATGGACCTTGAGATGGAGATGAAGGCACTCTGGGAAGGAGTTTGAGTCCAATTGCCAGTGGTGATGCAGGCAGGGCCGGGGTCATGAAGCAGGCCAGTGCCAATCGAGCAGATGGAACAGGCGTCCGGGTTGGTAGGGTTAAAGAAGGGTGCAGAGGTAGGGTGGGGCAAGATGGTGGAGGATTTTGAAATGATGATGAGAATCTTGAACTCAGTTCTCTGGGGGATGGGGAGCCTGTGACTGTGTCATTTGTGGGGCGAACACAGCAGCCAATTTGCACATAGCAATGACAGCAATGAAGTGAGTGACCAATTTCACTGGGAGAGGATTGTTTGTCAGGACATCAGGAGAAAATCCCTTCTCTTTTCAAACAGTGCCAAGGGATTTTTAACATCTACCTGAAACAGACAGACAGGATCTCAGTTTAAAGTCTCATTTGAAAGATGGCATCTCCAACAAAGCAATACACCCCAAAGCATCGGAGTATCAGCTTAGACTACATAAATTCCAAGTCCCAACTGGAATAAGGACACAAAGGGATTTATAGGTGAAGGTGAGGACCTTGAAATTAATCCGCTGGGAGACAGGGAGGCAGTGGAGCCTGAAGAGGACTAGCCTGACGCGCATGTGGAGTTTGATATGGGTGAACTTGTGGGCAGAGTATGGAGGAGTGTTGTAACAGCTGGAATGTTTGGATGGTGGAAGTAACAACTGTGAATCAAAGAAAAACATGGAGATAAAGTACAATTTGTTGGCTATGAACCCTGGGACCTGATCACAAAACCAAGGGTGCCATTGCCGGATCCGTTCTTAGCACATAGATAAATTCCAAGTATCCGAAAAGTACAGCAACATAATTCCAAGAACCATCTAGTAACTGCAGGAATGTGCACTCATGTGTTATATACGTACACTTAGACAGTTCACAGAACTTCCACCTTCACAGATTTCTGGACCCACACCTGAATAATATTCTGAATGCATGCAATACATTCTCAATCCTTTTGAGATTGCGTACTGAATCACAATCACAGTCATTTCAATGCCATCTCACAAAACGTAACCTTATAAGGAAAGGGTATCAGTGTCGATGCAAATACCCATGAATCATATTTTAAGAGTGTACTTATAGCAACAGGGCTTGTTAGACATGTTATTATGTTGAGGGACATCTGAATGTTAGGAGGAGCATGACGTGGAAGAAAGGAAAACTATTTTCTGATATATAAACATACAAAGCAAACACTGAGAATAAAGTAATACCAATCATTCGATGCATTACTGCTCAAATATGTCACATCTAAATAAGGAATACCCGTCATCCGTCACATTTAAAATACAGTCATACAACGAAATAAAGGAAATTATTACACTATCCTCATAAATGGCATTGATGAAATCCCAGCTAAATATAAATTTTAAACAACTTTCTTTTAATGTGCCCCATGCATTGAATGAAGAGATAGACTGCGGATGTCTTAATAATATAAACCTGGATCTTACTACAATATTATTTCGCCCACAAAATACAGTCAATTCACTTTACAATATATTCGTGAAGCGCTCTGAGTCATCTCAATGATGTGATAAGGCACTATATCAAATGTAAGGATTATTATTAGTATATATGGGAGAGAAGAGTAATGGTCACTTTACAGCGAATGTGCAAGCATTTGCAATTGGTATGCTGTACTCTTACCAGCATACTCGCTGTCCTGGTTGACTGAAACTCTATTTGCAGACTGATTACAATTTAGCAACCTCAGATTTTTCAGACAAACTACAAAATGCAGAAGAATCATCTTCATCTTTTTTACAAAAAAAACTACACCGTGTAGCAGATCTATGTTTATGAACTCACAACGCGAGAGGTGATCCACTATTCCTGCCATGAGCTCTGCATTTCTAGCGGTGAGAAAGATACACCGTTCTCCTTTCGAGCAATTTCACTCATTAAATGGTGCTGGGTAATGGAACATTTCTCTGTACTGCGCCCAGTGTATAGTATTCAGTGGCCCGGCTAAGAGAATGACATGGGTTAACATTTCTAGGTATAGTGTAGTATGGGGTAATTAAACCAAAGATTGAGAACAGAGCTCTCCCATTTTGCCCCAATACACCTTAAACTCAATACCAGCACACCCTTATGCCTCAACCACCTCCCTACTTGCATCATATGCATCATGAGTCTGTGTAACCATGATACCATTCTGAACACATTTTGCACTTCACAACGTAATCGTAAATGTGGGATTTCACTGATGCAAGTAATCTGTGGGGTTTTAGCGATTGTCATTTTTTTTACGTAAAAACAAATTTATTTAGTTGTTTCTCGTTACCTAAAATAGTGAAACAGTTCTTCTGCTTTTCATGGTTTCTCTTCCCCCCCTCACCTCCCTCTACAACCCCTGGAAATCTTTATTTACACAAGAGAGGTTGGAATGTGAGTTTCTCTGTTACAAACTATTGTTGAGGCAAAGTCCATCAATTATTTTAAAAAGGAAATAAATAAGGTATTTGACAAGAAAAAGAATGTGAAATGGCCATGGCAGCAAATAGGAGACCGAGATTAGATTGGGTGATGTGCCGTGAAACACCAGCTCAGACTTGAAGGGCCGAATGGCTGTATTGTGCCACTCAGTCTTGTCTAGATGCCAAGGGGAATTACTTCTCCACATGGAGAGTGAGGATCAAACTGAAAGCATCACCTCCACCTCCTTTAGCCATTCCGGTTAGACCTGGCAAATGTCTAAGGGAAAATCATCTCCCATTCCAAGAACGCTATGCGGGGAGAGAGAGAGAGAGAAAAAGAGAAGTAAGAACCTAAGAATGGAATAAATAAAACAATAACTGGAGAGCGAAGCAAAAATATTTCAGGATAAAAATGCCTATGTTTTATTTGTTCTCTCGTCCTTTTTCTAACCATATAATTATGTTGTCCTGTACCTAGCTGTGTAATCTCAATAACTTTGAAAGGTTTCAATTGGCCTACTTTTGCATTTTACATTCCATATAGGCCCATAAAATCTCAGTAAAATGGTTCAAAAACTCACCTCCTGCTTTTCTATTTGCTCCTCAAATAAAACAGACATAGTTTGTTATCCCTCTAAACTTTAAAACCAGTCTTAAGATTTAACTCTTCGACCCCACTTTTGATCACCTTTCCCCCACCCCACTCCCCCCAGCATTCTCCCAAGTACTCAGCCAACCATTAGAAGCAGTTTGATATGTCCTCCTGACATGAAAGGTGCTATATAAATGTAAATTGTATATTATATAAAAGTAATTGTGAGCACAAGAATAATTCACCTATCATAAATGCTAAAAAAGAAGCAATAAACTTGATACAGTTAACGCTAATTATTTGGAGTGGGAAAAAAAATCAGATTGCAAAATGTGTGCAGTAGATGAATAAGTGGAGGCATTTATATATAAAAAAAACAATAATTTACCTGAAGGATGTCTCGAAAGTGCCATCACAAGGGACTGGTGATTATGTGGAAAGTAGACTTTTAGCGGCATCTTAATCAGAAAATAAAAGAAATTGGATTGAAACAAGAGGAGAATGAGTACCATATGGTTCACAATTAGTTAGATGGCAGAAGTGATTACATAAGTAATAGACTTAGAGTATAGTTTTGTTTGGTTGGTTACAATTTCCATTGATGACCAGAGGACTATCAATTAACACACAGAAAAATCTGCCATCACTTTCTGTAGGTTAAATCAAATAGTGTGTAAAACCTAGTGACTGTATTTGAAGGCAAGTCAACAAATTGATGCACAGCGATGCCCCACACAGCCACAAAGTGAGTGACTGATTCTATCTAGAGGATTGTTGGCCAGGACAATAGGATAAACTCCCTTTTTGTTTCAAATAGTACAACAATAAAATTACATATCAGGGAACCTTTTAGTATTTACTTGAAAAGGCAGCCTGGACTCATGGACTGTACCTCTGACAATATATCATCAGCCTCACTGGACATTGTCAATGAGCTCAAAGTCCTGACATAAGGTTTTAACCCTCAATGTTCTGACCCAGAGGTGAGAGTGCCACCAATTGAGCCAAGCTTTCCCATTTTAAAGACCCAGATCATAATCCGATTAAAGCAAGTTTTTTAAAAAAAATCTTCACAATTTAAGTTTAATCACAAAATCATCCTCATTGCTTTTCTCCCAACCTTCCCCAAAATAGCATGATCAGAAGATCCAGATATCAATGTGAACAATGATTAATACAGAGTAGATATAATGGGTTTCAGATAAGTGTTTCATATTGATCTATACTTTAAGTGAATGCTCATGTACTCTCACACACTAGGCTCCGTGACCCCATCACTCCCACCCTCGCCCGACTCCACTGCTCCCCATCCCCCAGAGGATCGAGTTCAAGATTCTCGTCCTCACCTTTAAGGCCATCCATGGCCTTGCCCCCTCCTACCTCTCTGACCTGCTGACTCCCTACCAACCTGCCCGCTCCCTCCGTTCATCAGGCTCCGGCCTACTCCATGTCTCCCACCCCACCGCCCTACCATCGGTGTCCAGACTTTCAGCCTCTCTGCCCCCACACTCTGGAACTCCATCCTCCGGTCCGTTCGCCTCGCTTCCTCCCTTGCCTCCTTCAAGGTCGGTCTCAAGACTTCTCTTCGACTGTGCCTTTGGTCTCCCTCCCAACCTCTCTGCCTTCCCTCACCCCTACACCACCCCTCCCCCATGCTCGGGCCCCGACACCTGACTAGTCAGCGTTTTGAGATGTCCTCCCAACGTGAAAGGAGCTCTGTAAATGTAATTTTGTTGTTGTTGTACTCAGCAAATTTTTAACAGTCCATTTATTGTGTCCAAGTCATGTGCTTTTTGTACCAAAGTACGTTCTTAGATTTTTTCATATTAAAACCCACCACCTAAATAATCTATAAATTCCATCAACCTACCTTACATTTCATTACATGGTGCTACTAACGTTTTTAAGATTATTACTGGAAATAATCCTCTCTGTATCATTTACAAATAGTGGGCCAAAGATCAGACCCCTGCAGAACTCTACTAATCACTGTCCCTTCTTACATGATTATGCTTCCCGCTCCCTCTTTTGCCATCACTTTCTATTGAAAAGCCAATTTTCAATCCAGCCATTAATTCAAATGGCCTTAATCCTCTTTAACCAAGGAATCTTTTCAAATGGCTTTGGGACATCCAAGTAATTTACATCACTGTTTAGTTACTTTTCAAAAGATTCTCATAGATTTGTGTGACAAATGACCTGATGATTCTGAATCCATGGTGAACACTGCTGCAGATTATAGATTTAGAGTAATCCTACATACAGAGTAGATATAATGGGTTTCAGATCCTACATAATGCTCCAGCACCCAACTATACATGTTGGACTGGACAATCCTTTGGAATACATATATAGACATGAGGCAAGTGCAGAATTGGGTTTGACTGTGCTGCCCTTTCAGTTTAAATGTGTGTTACATGGAGTGGGGAGAAAGAGGGAACAGAATCCACCATGTTCCCATCTCTGATTGATATCCAGTGACCTCCGCTAGAAATAACATGAAGCCTTTGGAGAGGGCAGGATCAGGTGACTAGTTGTGATATACCCACTGAGTTACAAACAGCCATGTGAACACTCCCCATTTATACCAAAGGAAGAGGGTGTTATCTAATTATCTCACAAAGTGGCAGGCATTATGTACATCGCTGGCTACATATTTTACCTTAATCTACTGCTTCATTTTAAGCTAATAAACAAATGTATAGTGAAAACTATCTTAAATACATATATCGTGAAGGATAGAAACTACAATCAATCAGAAAAGTTCCTAAAATGTTTTTTNATTCAGAAATAGACCTTGCTGATTTAGAAAACAAAACTAACCTGAATCTGCATTTGTTGTAGAGTTTGAACAAAACAGCGTGTAAATGCTTGTAGAATGGCAATGGCCCTGGGATGTCCATCAGTTTCCAGTAAAATGCTCCTTAACCACAAGAAAAAAAACACACACAAAGAGAATGCAAAGGGAAGCCATCTGGAGTTTAACAGCATGTTGATGTCAAACAACAATTCTGCCTGTGCTCTGTTTTATCTGGTTTTGGTGCATAGTACACAGTAGGACAGAAGTAATAATATTTTGCAGTAGATCATACAGCTGTCTAGCCTTCAAATACGAACATTTTAAATTTAGAGAAAAGAAGGTTTCCTCTCAACACACATCATGCTTTAGGTTTATTAAGCTAAGGTCACAGATCATTCAATGGGATCAAGTTTAAATGGGTTATCAATAGGTGGAATTTGAACGGGTTGCTAATGAAACCATAGAAAATAAAATTTTGGACAAAAGATTTCTCAGTTTGTTTTAAAAACAAAATGCAAACAATCTTTTTTTGCAGAATCAAGGGGTGCTGCTATTTCCTATGGTACATGAAAGTAGCAAACAGCTGTGCAAATGGAAGCTGGTATTGTTCCCATTAAATAATACAGTGCCCAGTACATCATGGTTAAGCATAACGTGCGGCTTAGATTCATACTTATCTCGACATCTGTTCTATCTCTATCATTTCCTGGCTATTTGATTAGACCATTCATCTTTCTAATATTATGTGAATACACAATACCCTCCATAGAAAAGTGGCTTTCAGAACACTTTCATTTCAATCGCAAAGGACAAAGTGTGTACTGTAGTACAAAATGGTATTACACAGTGAAAACGGCGATTTTTGCCCCCCACTGTCAAATGGTTAGCAATACATGGGGAGAAATTCCACTTGGATCTAGATTTACTCCATTTATGTAGCATTTCAGAGCGTCCAAAATTTGGCAAAAATCTTAGGAACATAGGAACAAGAGTAGGCCATTCAACCCTTCAAGCCTGTTCTGCCATTCTATTAGATCACGGATGATCTTTATCTCAACTCCATATTTCTGCCTTTGCCCCACATCCCTTGATACCCTTACCTAATAAAAATCTATCCGCCTCAGTCTGGATTCAGTCTAATGTTGAAGCCAGTTTTTTGTAATAATCCTTAATAATAATCCTTGCATTTGATATTGTACCTCATCACGTTATCGATACATCTCAATGCGCTTCACTTCAATGTACTGTAGTGATGTGACCGTGTTTATTTTGTGAGTGAACACGGCAGCCCATTTAGACTAGATTCTTGTTGGCCAGGACACAGCTAGAAACTCTCTTCTCTTTTCAAATAGTGCCATGGGATCTTTAATGTTTACATAAACAAACAAACGAGACCTTGATTTAAAGTTTCATCCGAGGATGGCACCTCCAATAATGCAGCACTGCACTGGAATGTCACATAGACTATATGAGTTCCAAGTCCCGACAAGAGGCTCGAACCTGCAACCTTCTGACTCCAAAACGAGAGCACTATCAACTGTAAGTTCTTTTAAGAATGCCCCAAAGCAACAATAACGGGTTCTCCAAGTGCTGAATATTGAAAACCTTATATATTTGAAATTGTGCTCAATGGGGAACAAGCAAATTTGGATACAATCCTTTACAATGCATTGCTGCAGATTTAACAGCCTAGAATGCAGCAGTCCTTAAGGGCCATCGAACAGATAGCAGATTCTGCAAAGTGCTAACATTTGTCAGAATTCATCAGCAAAGCTGATTTATAATTAAAATTGGCCAACACATTAAATAATATAATCACATTTTGCAGGCATGAAAAGCTTTGTATTACACCAAATCAATATATGCTCCATTTTGAATAAGACCTTACTGGCGGGATTATTGATTCTACAAATCAATAGCTAGCACAAAAATATAAAAGTTAGAATTCAATCTGATTCAAAGTTGCACCACCTATTTTATCTGAACATGATTTATAAACGAAAGCTTTTTTGTATTTAGGTACATTACACCTTTGATAGAACACTCTATTGAAGCCTACAGTCTTGTGACTTAATGCAGCGTTATTCTGTTAAGCTACAAGCTAACTCTCAAAGTACAAATCCTTTCATTTAAAATGAGAGAAAACAGTTTTCATTCAGTTGATGTCAGCTAGTCATGTCTTGGTCAGTGCAGTGATTAATTTTGTTTTATATGCTGCCAAATTCCGCTGTCAGCCTGCTCAGTTGGTATCACTCTCGCCTCTGAGTCAGAAGGTTGTGAGTTTAAACCTCAAGTCAAGACTTTGAACTCACTGTGTAAGATGACACTCCAATGCAGTGCTAGGGTGTGATGCATCGTCAGAGGTGCAGTCTTTCAGATGAGATTTTAAACAGAAATCTCTGTTCAGGTAGACAAATCCTGTGGCACTTTTTAAAAATAGTTTCTCCCGGTGTCCTGACCAATAATTCCCCAAATGAAATTAGTCATTCACTGGTTGTGGGACACCACCACAATGAACTTTAGAGTCCTGTAGCTCAGTGGTTAGAGCACTCGCTTTGCAAGTGAGAGACCTGAGTTCAATTCCAGGCCGGGCGAAACCTTGGGCAAGTTTCCTTACTCCAGACACCTAATAATAATCCCTCCAAAACCCAAAACAATAATAAATTGGTCATTTTCAATCTACGACTGTTTGTGGGACACTGCTGTGCGCAATTGGCTGCTGCGTTCGCCCACAAATATACAGTCAATTCACTATACAGAATGTTCTGTGAAGCGCTTTGGGACGTCCTCCCGACGTGAAAAGCGCTATATCAAATGCAAGGATTATTATTATTAAATTAGCTGCTGCATTTGCCTACAAATATAGTATACAGTCACTCCACTTCACAGTAAAATCCTGTGAAATACTTTGATAGATCTCAAGGACATGTTAAGGCACTAAATAATAAGAAACCTTAATAACCATAGCTCCTTTCATGTCATTGAGATGGCTCAAAGCTCTTCATGGGATTTTACTGTGATTTTACTGTGAAGTGTAGTGACTGTGTATTCGTGAGCAAACATATCAAATGTAAGGATGATTATAAATAGGTTTGCTGGTCATTTAAAAGCAATATTTAAAAAAAATGCTGGTAAAACATCAGCTGGCTCACTTACAAATGCATCTGCCAAAATCGTCTTAAATGTTAGGAATTAGTGTCCCATTAAAATGTCCACTCCCTGGACAATTTGAATCCTGTTTGAAAACTGAAACCAAATCTGCACTGAGAATGATTGTTGCTATACTGCTGCGCAGTAAGAACTCCAATTCTAAATCAATCATTGAAAAGACTATGATGCAGAAACCTTCACAGAAAATTGGTGCTTGCAACACTCACTTTAATGTTATTTTTAATCTGTTGTTAAAGAAAATGAACTTTGTGCCTAAAATTCCAAATCATAGCCTGCAAGACAATTTACCTTAAAATTTAAGACATGAGCAGAATTAGTTTTAATTAGCATCTTATTTTTTACATAATTCTTAAAAACAACCAGCTAAATGAAGGCTGGATTTATGAATTTTCCATAATTACATTTTAAGACCAAATGGTCTTTTAGGATACATTTGTGGCCTTTTATTTTTTCTTTAACTAAATAGTAACATACTTTATCATAAAGATATGCCTAGTCAAATCACATTTTTCGAGAGTACTTATATATCTGGTTAAGATGTACAACAATCAATGTGGATAATAAACAAGTTTTAGGACAATATTGTTTGTAATTATTTCAATTTGTATATTGGTGCTTTAACACATTGGCAAGTTATTCTTACCTGAAGATGCCATCAAGTATTCTATATAATGAAGGGTGACAAGCTGAAGCTTTAAGCTACAAAAAAAACAAATACAGAGATTATGCGGTGTGTCACTCACGATGATCCTGCAAATCATTCAAGATTACAGCCTTCATTCAGTTACCTAAACAGATGTGTATTTTGAGTCACATTTTTTGCATGTAAAAAAAATGCATTGAGTTACCACTTAAAACATTTTATGCTTATAAACAAAAATTGCCAACAGAACTATGCTTGACAGTAATTACTTGTGAAGTGCTTTGAATTACTGAGATGTGATAAGAGGTTCTAAACATGCAAGTTATTTCTTTCTAAATGAACCCAACAAACCCACACAGGCAGAGCCTCCCTTCACGTAAGCTTCACGTGTTGAATTTCACCAAAAAGTCATACAAATCTATACCTTAAAATTTAAAGAGTTTAGGCTTTTACATTTGGTAAATCCACTGACTGGTATAAAACTGAATTACACAGATCAGGAAAGTCACAGGTTTGATCCCCATTCTGTGTTAATCTCAGCTGGGAAATTAGTTTGGGAACTACAACTAACCTTTGTGCCCATGTCTATGGAGAGAATAATCAGGCCAGGGTTCCTGCTCCTGATCTCTATCCAGGGAAAGACCCAAGCTGCTAGTGTGGATATCTCTGGACAAAACAGGATGGGGTTTGGCTGTGATCACCCCACAGCTGAATAGCTGGCTGCCACTTGCTGTCAAGCTCACACATGAGAACAACCACTTGGCTGAGACACTAAACAGCAGCATATACCCAACCCTTCACAAGTGCAAGTGAGAAAACTGGAATAGAAACGATTTCTAATAATCTGAACTCCACATCCCCCAACCTCCTTTATCCTTACCAACCTTCTACTCGGCCAACCCTGGCCTACGCCACTCCCCCGCTCTATCAGCCCACCATAAGCATGAGAACTTTCAGCCACTTGGCGCCCACACTCTGGAACTCCATCCTCAGGTCCCTCTGAATTGCTCCCTCTCTCCCCTCTTTCAAAGTACATCTCACAACATACCTCTTTGACTGCGCTTTTTCTAATTTTTCTCCTCATCTCCCACCCCATATTCGGGTGCCCAGCCAAAATTGTCAGGTGCTTTGGGACATCTCCTGATGTGAAAGGTGCTCTATAAGCGTAAATTGTGTTGTGTAACTCTGAGACGAGCAGATATTTCTGAAATATCTGAACTTCTCAAAAGATTTAAACTGCAAGGAATATTCTTGTGAAGTTTTCTCCCCCCAACCTCCGCCCAGTGACAAGCAATGACTGCTAATCCCCAAATCTAATCCCCTTTCTTCCCTAAGCAACATAATAACTGACTATTGGAAGAACCGGGCCAATTATTATTACAGAATTTTGGGTAGAGTTTCAAAAAATTTGTTATCTTCTAAACTGAGATGCTGTCAAGCCACCATTCTTTTATTATAATAATCTATTATACTATCTTTTATGCCTGACATTCTCTATTTTCCATCATGTCAATACTCAGAACATGTCACCAGAACATAGGAACAGGAGGAGGCCATTCAGCCCATTGAGCCTGTTCTAACTGTCTATTGCATAATAGCAGATCTTTTAATTTCATTTCCCCATCATTTCTCCAGATCTTTTAACAACCTTACGTATCAAGTATTCATCTCCCTTTTAAATATTTCAATAACTGCACAAGTCAAATGGCTGAACACACTGGTAAAACTAAACATAATGTACTATATTTCAAACACATCATTAAATGTATCTGCTGCATTAGGCTACATTCATTTACTGACCCAGTTTAGTTGATTGCTTTGCAAATTGTTTTATGGGTTACTGTTATTACCATTGGGTTTATACTGTACTTTGCTTGACTGCATTCAAATGCACCAATTAAACAATTTCAACAGAATTGGGTTCTGATACTGGTTCCCTGACATGTTCTCTCCACTCTTGCACCCCCCACCCCGTCCCCCCAATGCACCTCACAAAATAAATGAAGCTCTTTCCCCTTCTTGCCTCTCCAAGGACAAGAATGTGAAGAGTCTTCATGTTCTGATTTAACCATCACTGTGAGATGAGGTGAATCTGGTTCTATGGTTTCCTCTCTTTCCTCCCTGGACAAGGCAGTCAAGAATGGAAACTCATGTGCGGGTGGGGATACCTTAACCCCCAGTTGAAGTTATGTTGGGTTTCTTTCACAGGGTGGGCTTCAGGCAAGCTGGTGCTAATGATCAGCTTGCATTTCATATAGACATGCATTCATTCCCATTGTCAGAAGTTACAGTACAACTGTTTTACATGTCGCAGGTCACATTCAGTGTTTGTGCTCTTGCAACTCTGAACCACCTGCCTGATTCTCACTTGTAAACGTTAGCCCATTGAAAACCTGCTTTACTGTGGTCACATCTTGCTTTGCTGCCAGAGTGGCAATGTAGCTTGGTTCTGTCCCAAGTCACTCCTATGGTTTTGAAATTCCTCTAAGCCTGTCATTTCCTGGAGTCTCTTGCATTAAGATGACCTCATTCATTGCTGTCAGCAACTTTGTTGTCAGTAATATTGCTTTGGAATAGGTCATTGAGTTCAAACACGAAGTTACCACGGAATTTTATTTGTAAAATATTACTGTTCGTTGCGATTCTATGCAGAATCAGAGTACTATGCAGAACCTTCCTCCACACGCATCTGTTTGCCGAGCAGCAAGTAGGACCCCAGCAGTTAGTCGATTGGGGGATTGCATTCTGGGTTAATAATAACTTGCAAAAAAAATTTGGTCTCTCATTCCACAACTGTTTGCAGGAAACTGATGTGTGCAATGGGCTGTTGTGTTTTGCCACAGACAATTACTGTAAGATATACAAAACACAAAATACTGCAGATGCTGGAAATCTGAAAACAAAAACAAAAGTCGCTGGGAATACTCAGCAGGTCAGGCAGTATCTATGGAGAAAGGAAAGTGAGTCAACGTTTTGGTTCCACGTTTCGGGTTCTGACAAAGGGTCGTGGACCTGAAACGTTGACTCACTTTCCTTTCTCCATAGATGCTGCCTGACCCACTTTACAATACATTCTGTGAAGCGCTTTGAGAAGTCTCAACGGCGTGATATATCAAATGTTAGGTTTATTATTTTGTGCTAGTTGTGCTGTTTGAACACCAAGGGCAAGTTTCCCATCTGAGCGCCATCAGTCTCTAAAGCTACCAGGTACTCATTCAGAAGGTATCTTTTATTATAATAATAAAAATAATAATCCTTGCATTTGTTAAAGTGTTTTTCACATCGGGAGGATGTCTCAAAGTGATTCACAGGATTTGCTAATAAGTGTAGTGACTGTATCTGTATGTTGGCATACGTGTATCAATGTGTAACAATGAGTAAATGGAGAACAAAATAAAATTAGGAGCCATAGAGAAAAAGAAATTAGAGAGCTCCACAGCGTTTCTCACACTAGGAGGAGATCTCAAAGCGTAAGATAAAAGTTTATAAAGAATGAGATTGCGTCTCTAAAATGAGATTATTCAGTCTACTTAAAACCAACACAAATTTGAGCTTGTACTTATAACACTAAACACTGGAAGAAACTCCTTTGTCTTTTCGAATAGTGTTATGGAATCTTTTAAATCCTTTATCGTCCACCAGAGGAAAAGGCAGGCTAATGTTGAGTATACACACTGGGACAGACTAGTTTCAGTGTTGTAACATTTTATAATTCTAAAAAAAACTGTATATTAAAGTGACTGTGTATTTTGTAGACAAGTGCGATGTTTACAAATGGCCATGAAGTGAATAACCAATTTTATTTGGGGGAGGTCAGAAAAAGATGGAATATTTCCCCTCTGCCACTGCAACTGCTACCCCCTTCCCATCTCCTCTTCCCACCCCCCAACCTACCCAGCCCCTATCCACCCCTCCCTTCACACCTTGGAACCCATCTCCCCCTCCTCTCTCATCACCACCATAACCCGTATGAAACCCACCACCTGCTCCCTCGACCCCTTCCTCTCCCTCCACTCCCTTCTCGAACCCCTCCAATCAGGTTTCCGTGCCGCCCACAGCACAGAAACAGCCCTGGTCAAAGTGACAAATGACATTCTGTCCCTCTGTGACCAGGCTTCCCTCTGCCTCCTTGACCTCTCTGCTGTTTTCAATACCATCGACCACTCTATCCTCATCCATCGCCTCTCCTCTCATCGCAACCTCCATGGCGCTGTCTTTGATTGGTTCAGATTGTACCTTTCACACCACCTGCACTTCATCTCCTCAAACGGCTTCTCATCTAGCCCCCGGACCGTCTTGTGCAGTGTTCCTCAGGGCTCTGTCCTTGGTCCCCTCCTCTTCATCATCTATATGCTCCCTCTTGGTGACATGAATGCGGATGACACCCAACTCTACCTCTCTGCCTCCACCTTTGACTCTAGGACCACTGCTATCCTGACAGAATGTCTGTCAGACATCAAATCCTGGATGAGAGCTAACTTTCTTCAGTTGAACGTCAACAAGACCAAGGCTCTCGTGATTGGCTCCTGTCAGCGCCTCCTCACCTCAGGCGCTGACAGCGTCAACATCCATGGTTGCACACTCCACCTTGCTAAACCAGTCCAGAACTTTGGGGATCCTGTTTGACCCTCAACTATCCTTTCTACCCAACATACATGCCATGACCCGCTCTGTCTTCCCCCACCTTCACAACATCGCCCAGCTCCGACACTGTCTCACACCACAGGCTGCCGAAACTCTCATATACGCCTTCATTACATCAAGGCTCAACTATGCAAACTCACTGCTTGTCGGCCTCCCCAACTCCTCCCCGTGTCCTCTCGTGCACTAGGCTCTGTGACCCTATCACCCACATCCTTGCCCAACTCCACTGGTTTCCCATTACACAGAGGATACAATTCAAGATCCTGGTCCTCACCTTCAAAGCCCTCCATGGTCTTGCTCCCCCCTCCTCTCTGACCTCCTAACCCCCTACCAACCTGTTCACTCCCACCGCTCAGCGGGCTCTGGCCTGCTTCACATCCCCCGCCTTGCTTGCCCCACTATTGGCGGGCGA